GAGATATGTAACCTACAATGGTAGAAACATTAGATTGGCAACAGACCTATCCACAGAGACCTGGCAGGCCAGAAAGGACTGGCATGATATATTCAGAGCACTAAATGAGAAAAATATACAGCCAAGAATACTATATCCAGCTAGGCTGTCATTGAAAATAGAAGGAGAGATACAAAGTTTCCAGGACAAACAAATACTAAAGGAATTTGCAAACATGAAACCAGCCCTACAAGAAATACTGAAAGGGGTCCTCTAAGCAAAGAGAGAGCCTAAAAGTAACATAGCCCAGAAAGGAAGACAGACAATATACAGTAACAGTCACCTTACAGGCAGTACAATGGCACCAAATTCATATCTTTCAATAGTTACCCTGAATGTAAATGGGCTAAATGCCCCAATCAAAAGACATGGGGTATCAGATTGGATAAAAAAACAAGACCCACTGATATGCTGTCTGCAAGAGACTCATTTTAGACCCAAAGACACCCTCAGATTGAAAGTGAGGGGGTAGAAAACCATTTACCATGCTAATGGACACCAAAAGAAAGCTGGGGTGGCAATCCTTACATCAGACAAATTAGATTTTATTTTTATTGTTTTTTTTAAAAGATCTTTTATTTATTTATTTGACAGAGAGAGACAGCGAGAGAGGGAACACAAGCAGGGGGAGTGGGAGAGGGAAAAGCAGGCTTCCCACGGCGCAGGGAGCCCGATGCGGGGCTCGATCCCAGGACCCTGGGATCATGACCTGACCTGAAGGCAGACGCTTAATGACTGAGCCACCCAGATGCCCCAACAAATTAGATTTTAAACCAAAGACTATAATAAGAGATGAAGAAGGACACTATATCCTACTTAAAGGGTCTATCCAACAAGAAGATCTAACAGTTGTAAGTATCTATGCCCCTAACATGGGAGCAGCCAATTATATAAGCCAATTAATAACAAAAGCAAAGAAACACATCGACAACAATACAGTAATAGTGGGGGACTTTAACACCCCCCTCACTGAAATGGGCAGATCATCTAAGCAAAAGATCAACAAGGAAATAAAGACTTTAAGTGACACACTGGAGGGGCGTCTGGGTGGCTCAGTCGGTTATGCGTCTGCCTTCGGCTCGGGTCATGATCCCAGGGTCCTGGGATCGAGCCCCGCATCGGGCTCCCTGCTCTGTGGGAGGCCTGCTTCTCCCTCTCCCACTCTCCCTGCTTGTGTTCCTGCTCTCACTGTCTCTCTCTCTCTCTCTCTCTGTAAAATAAATAAATAAAATCTTTAAAAAAAAAAAAAAGATCAATAAGTAAGAAGAAAGTGGGTAACAGCAGGCTCGAAGCTTAGGAGAGAAGTCAGTCAGTGCTATCTATGTGTGGTTTTATTCAGGTTGTGCTGAAGGAAACATATACAAACACAAATAGTCATTCACTTTCCAGTTCAGACAGCGCAGAGTTAGATACTAGACCACTGATCCAAAGGGAACAGGTGATAACATTTCCAAGTGTTCAGTTGTGCTTCTGGGATTTTACTTTATCTTTCCAATCACATTTCGCTTCCATCACACTGTAAGCCTAGCGTTAATAACAAACCCAACGTGACAAGGGACGCAGGACACTGAGCGAGATGACACCACTGGCTACAAGACAGCTGTGGGGAGAAATAGGTCTCGTGAAAGTTTCTGAACAGATTCCTGAGGAGGGGCGGGCAGCAGTGTGCTCTTCAGTAACAGAGGCTACAGGTAGCAAGGGAGACAACAGAAATGCACTCTGAGTTTACATACAATCATCCGTTTGTAAAGTGAAATCCGATATGACTGATACTTCTTAGGGTCATCTGCATATAATTCCTCAAAATACTGAAAAAACAGGCACAACGGATATTTGTTTTTCTCTGTGTCTCTGAGGGGAATGTGACCTCTCAGCAAAATCAATTTAAAAATATTTTACAACACAAATAATAATAGTATATGTACTCAAAAGGCTGATTTGTCATCTGCCACTGCCTTCTGATCTTTCCAGGACAGAGGATTCTAATTTTATATAGATACACACATACACATAAATGTTCACGTGCTCAGAGGCAACAGGCTGTGGCTCAGGCTCCATCATTCAGCAGGTTAAACAGAGCAGTGGCCCATATTCCTCTGGTATAGAGGTATTTCGCTCCTCAGACCTGCTCACAAGTTGCTGTACTTTTTTTTTTTTCTGCAGCTAGCCACAGTGACAAGGGTGAGAAAGGCAAATAAAATGGAAGTGAAAATCATGGCAATGTTGGCACTCTTGCCTGAAATTGGCAAGGCTGGTGAGAAGCTGTGTGTCTTCCCTCCCTCAAGGCAGCATGGGGGAGGCCTGTGGAGCATGTTCACAGGTGGAAGAAGAAAGCCCATCTTCGTGTTTGTGTGGGGAAGTAGGTGGGTAAGTGGGTTATGCACGGTAGAGTTTCCAAGAACACTAAGCATGGGTCCGTTGGGCTTTACTATTCTGCTCAAGTGTTTCCTAAAGAAATGCACAATTAAGACTGAGAAACTATATAATGGTTTTGAAAAGTGCATTATTCCCTATACTTAAGTTTGAAACCATTCTCCAGATTTAGTAGTCGGTGAGGTACGGGAAGCAGCTGACCTGCAGAGGGTCTTCTAAAACTCAGAGAAACTCATTAACTAGACTCTACCCCATAGAATTTGAGAGCTTAATTTACTTTTGTATAGCTATGAAAAACTGCCAAGAAAATTAACACTGTAGACAAGGTTGCAAAAGAAATGATTAATCGACTTAGTGAAACAATCGGGAATTTGCCATCCAGAAGCATCTCAATTGCAGTTTCGCCTTGTATTTTAAAACAATCATTTATAAGTACAGAATTTATACACTGATCAATTGTTATAATTCAGTATATTTATCAATTCTTAGGCATTGAAGCACTGTTAGTTTAATTTAAGCAATAATATACTTGAGAGTAATAAAAAACATTTCAAAAATATTCCATGATTCAAAACATTTCCCCCCACAAATTAGTGATATTTCAGTCACTTTGGAAAGAGTCCAACACTTGCCCTCACGTGCTTCTCCCATTCCCACAATAGAGCCCCACGTAGCAAGCTGCCTTCAGAGGGACAGAGAGTGAAAAAAAAACTTTTGGGTTTTGCATCTAATTAATACAAAAGGTGGTTGAATAGATGACACTAGAAAACTATTTGTAAGTGATCACTAATGGAATTAATTATAATAATTCAGATTGTTAAATCTTCACAGAAAATCCAAACTATTTTATTAAAGGTCATTAAAACCCTGAATTAAAAAGAAAAAGACAACTCACTACCAGTTCTAAATAGCTTTTCTCCAAACCAGGCTGACACTACAATATAGATTTTATATAGGTATGTGGAATTATAACTTTTTAATGACCTTTAATTTAATAAATGTATTTAACAAACTTAAGTAGATTTACAAATCTGTCATAAAAGTTATTTTGCGACAGAAATATTTTAGAAAATATTTCCTGTGAAAGAAAGAAAGAAAAAAAGGAATAAGAAATAGCTTGAACTCCGTGCCAGCATTCAGAATGTGGCAAGGGGGAAAAAAAATCTCCTCATTCATTGCGCTTTTGTTAGAACCAAAAATGTATAAACTTAACTCCTAATGTCCCTCCACCCTGACCTGGGAGCTCTAGCCAACATCGAGCAAGAGCCCCCGTTTGGTTCTGCCAACCACCTTCCCTGAGCATAACTGCAACCCCTGCCTTTCTGCTAGAGATGGAGGCAGGACCAGCCCTGGTGGCCGCCTGGGGACCAAAGGTCAACAAAGCTTGTCCCGAGTCTCCATTGCGACAACCACAGAACAAACCTCCTTGAAATGGCAGAGAATCTGCAGCGAAACGTGGAGGCAGCAGGTCACCTGAGTTCTCAAGCTTATCAAAAGCCCAGCACACGGTCAGGGGAGATCTCCTGGGCCCTCCCAGACGTGCCAGAGCCTTCTGTCAGAAACACAACCTGGACACGTGCCTTTTTCGTTTCTACCCACATAGTCACATCTTCCTCACTCTGTCTCTGCTAGAGAAGAAGGTCGGTATCAAGTGTCGGGCAGGGAGTTTTTCCCAGCCCAAACAGATGTGTTTGATCCAAAAGAAACCAGGACAGTCCTGCAAGGCCAGGCACTGCCTGCGGAGGGATGTGTGGACCCGGCAGCTCCCCTTACCAAGTTTTCGTTGGTCAGCCTGGTGATCTCGTGCTGCAGGCTGGCCTCGATGCGGGCCTCCGGGGGCAGCTGCAGGTTCTGGGCCAGGAGCTGCTGCTGCCGGTTGTTCTCCTCCTTCAGGCTCTGGATCTCCCCACGAAGGGCTTCTGCCTCATTCTCGTGGCTCCTCTTCTGTGACTGCAGCTGGGATTCCAGGAGCCTAAAGAGAAGCCACACGGGTGGGAAAGGGAGATGACCCCACGTCGCCGCTTGCCGGCAGTGAGGCTTCAGGCTCACTCGCAAGGGCAGGAAAAGTGGGGAATTTCTAGTGTTTGTGTAACTTCAGACTTCATTAAAGTCAAGAAGCTCAAGCAAGGGCCAGCAATGGAAAGAAGTGAAGCGCTCTCACAATTGTCTTTCTGAATTGTGGACCATGCTACAAATATACCATTCTCGAAGGCCCTAAGAGATAGGAAAGTTTAGGCTCTTTTGAAAAGTTTGTAAGAAATGATGGCTAGGGGGCACCTGGGGGGCTCAGCTGGTTGAGCGACGGCCTTCGGCTCGGGTCATGATCCTGGAGTCCCGGGATCGAGCCCCGCATCGGGCTCCCTGCTCGGCGGGGAGTCTGCTTCTCCCTCCGACCCTCCTCCCTCTCATGCTCTTGCTCTATCATTCTCTCTCACTCTCAATAAATAAATAAAAATCTTAAAAAAAAAAGAAATGATGACTAGAATAATCAATTAAAAGACACACCTTTAATCTGGCTTACAACGTTTACAAACTAGCATTTAAGTTGGCAAAGACAGTACCTGTGTCACAGAATAACTCTGCACTGTAGAGGGCAAGATTACAAGCTCCCAATCTAATTAAATATGCCTTTAAGAATTTCAGTGTTACTAATTTCAGGCAGAAGGTATGACCAGGGTCCCATTTCTACTTTCTACTCTTATCTCTGGAGGACAGAAAGGCTGGAGTGGGACTCTGAAATATATACAGATTTACCCAAATCCAGACAGATCATTCTGAAATTTCACATACATGTATTTTAAATTTGTCATTTTCTCTCTCCCCCATAAACTTCCATATCAATAACAGAATCCTAACACAATGTAGTTTTAGAACATAGATGTTAATAGGACGAACAAAGTGGTTACGGCTTCTCTCAGCAAGCACACAAGTCGGCCGTGCCTGTAAGCAAACCAGGGCACCAGCCATGAGAGTACCAGGGAGAAACAGCATCCTCTCTTCACCATGGATTCCCACTTCTATATTCACCCCCTTTCTAAACACAAAGTTATGGTTAAGAATTAACTAACTTGAAGAAAGGAAAGACGTTCTTTCATCCTAATCCCCTTTGGTATCAACTGCTGGGCAAAAGTTACTGATGCCATTGCAAGCAAACAGTTAACAGCAGACTAAAAATATTTTAGCGATTATAAAATTTCAGGAGTGTGAACCAGTAACACCACAAAGTTAATGACAATGGCTTGTGATTAGAACAAACAAAGCAGAATAAGCAGGAGCCCCTTGAACAAATAGTTAAGTATTTTTAAAATTTAATCACTAACGTGGTATTTTTATGAGATTTTAAAGATACAAATATTCTGAGAGCAGATGAGCGTCTGTGTTAGAAAGCTGTTGCTCTTCCAATTTTATTTGCTTTCCCCTAAACACATTTAACGTGTTGAGTTGTGTAATTATTTTGAACTGCAGCAGTGCAGGAGACCCTCCTGACTTGTGGTTTCACACATTTGGATTTCACAATAATCACACAGAATGCCAAATCAGGCACTCAACACTGCTGTTAGGCAGCATGGTACTGTATATAAGAATGCAGTCTCACTGCCACAGGTGTTCATATCCTTTAGATTGGTCATTATTCCAAACAAGAAACCACTAAGTAATAGGTATTAATCTCTCCCACTGTAGTTTGAGCTCTAGTTGAAAGTTTTTTTTTTTTTCCAACTCCTAGTGAGATATTCAGAAATTTTAGTGAGTGAAGGGAAGATCTTTCATTCATAGGCAGCAACTCTTATATTAACTATCAGTCCGTTTCAGCTTTAATTGCATCCCTTGGTGGAGAAAGTTTTTAAAGAAGGTGTTTGGCTGAATGTTCTAAGTTTTACTGAAATTCACCCAGGAAGACAATTAATGCGTAAGAAACATAGAAGTTAAAGTCAGAAGGCCACTGTTAGTAAGAAAAACAACGAATTAATAACATTCCATTTTGAGGATACAAATATAACCTGTTGGCTTGTTTTAACCCTTCATAAACCAGCCACAGCTCTCCATCCTCATTCAGCTCATGGCAATCCATAGCAGGTGATCTTCCATGCAAAAGGAACAACAATGCAAAACACAAAGGGACACAGGACAGTCATGAGATGATGATGGTCAAGAGCAGCACACGGTATTTCCAATGTTTCATTAAGTCAAGACTGTTTTTATTAATTACAGATGGCTTTAAGATATTATCACAAAAATTACTTTTGTTTAATTTTTTTTAAAAATGGGTAACATGTAACATCACATGTCACTGGGTAGAAAGTAAAACAATAATTAAGGAGCTAGAGCTACTTTTTCTGCAGAATAAGAAATGACTGAAAAGGTGAGAAAGAGGTTCTGTTTTTTAACATTTCATTCAACTAGCAGAGTGATCTTATGCGTCACATATTATATGAGAGACCGATCCCAACCATGACAGTCACACACATATAGAATGAAAACTTCAGCTATTGTCTTCACGTGGCAACCTTCACAATCCATGTCAAAGTTAAGTTTTAAGTCTTACGTGCTCACTTCGGCAGCACATACACTAAAGTTTTGAGTCTTATGAGTAGAAACTTGTTTTTGCTTAATAAAATCCACTTTCCTATTTTTAAAATTGTCTTAAGAAATTCTTATAGGAGTAACATAATTAAGAATATGTCCAAAGTTCTCAGCTTTTATGATACAACTGTTAAAAAGATTTTTTGCGTCGAAAACGAATGTTAAGATCTGGGGAAACTGCTTTTATATATATATATTTTTAAGATTATTTATTTATTTGAGAGGGAGAGAGACAGCATGCTAGAGAGAGAGAGCACGAGTGAGGGGGAGGGAGAAGAAGACTCCCCACTGAGCAGGGAGCCCGAAACAGGGCTCGATCCCAGGACCTTGGAATCATGACCTGAGCTGAAGGCAGACGCTTAACCAATTGAGCCACGGAGGCACGCCTGCTTTAATATTAAAGATGTGACATATTTTATTAAAAGTATGAATAGGAGCACCTGGGTGGCTCAGTCGGTTGAGTACTTGACTCTTGATTTCAGCTCAGGTCATGATCTCAGCGTCATGAGATCAAGCCCCGTGTCAGGCTCCATGCTCTGCACTGGGCATGGAGCCTGCTTAAGATTCTCTCTCTCCCTCTGCCCCTTCCCCCTACCTGACTCGCTCTCACTCTCCCGTGCGTGCTCTCTCTTAAAAAAAAAAAAAAAGTATGTATAAATAATAAATAATGACAAAGTTGATTACAGGGTTTTTTACCTGGGGTGTAAAAATATTTTTGAGTATCTGCCATCAGACACTATTCTACAACCTTCCACATGTATTATTTCATTTAGTTCTAGTAACCTACTGTGTATCATTTGCCACACTGCAGAGGAAGACACAGAGGCTTAGAAATAAGATACTTTAGAGGTTACACACTGGCAAGTAGGAGAGCTCAGGGCTATCTGACTCCAGAGCCCAGGTTTTTACTCTTCCTATTAGACTTTTGTTAATATGATGTGTACAGAAAGCACATTCCAGAGAATGTTCTATTTACCATCTCCCCCCGGAGAGCTGATCTATTTTTATGGTCTCAATTGTATTATTATACACTGATAACTTCAAAATTTATATCTCAGCCCACATTCCTCTCCTATTGCAGATCTAGATGTTCAACGGCCTAATGGATTTCTCTCCTTGGATGTCTTCCTAGCTCCTCAAATTCATTATTTATAAATCTACCAGTCATCTCCACTCTGTGCTTCCCCACACTGCAGACCCAGCACCATGAAACGGCATTACCACATCCAACCAAGTAGTCAGACACATGAGAGCCACCCTCTATGATTCTCTATCCCCCACCCACACATCCAAGCCACCGGGCTTACTGATCTCACCTTATGTATCTTATCTATCTTTCAAAGTGTCCCATTTCTCTCAATCTCAACTGCCACCAACCAAGTCAAGTCACTGTAATCAGTCATTCAATTACAGTAACAGCTTCCTAACTGCTCTTTATGCCTTCAACCTTGTTCTACTATAATCTATTCTCTAACACAAAAGCCAGGGCTAGCTTTCTAAAATTTCAATATCATATCATTCTCCTACTTAAAACATCTCAATAACTTTGACTGTCACTGGAGTGAAGTCCAAATTGTCTTGGTTGTCTCCCCAACAGTCTACAAACTCTGTGAAAGTAAAAACTGCATTTACCTTCCTTACAGCTATATTCCCAGTGTGTGACATAGGGCTGAGCATGAAAACAGGCATGCGATAGATATCTGGTGATTCATTCAGAGTGGATGGAAGGACCGCGTAATATAGCTCTTTCTACACTAACACACTCTTAGAAGATACGCTTATAATTTATGTCATAAATTAAGATTTAAGTTTAATCAAATGCTTTTTAAGCATTCTCCATTCTCACCCATAAAACAAGATAATAAGTACATTACATGCTGCATGGCAATATTCTTTAGTTCGTAAAGTATTTCTGTACACCAATCCTGATACTACACATCAGGAGACTTAGACCGCACACGAACAACACAACTTCCCAGAACTATCCTTCTCTGTGACCATGATTGGCCAAGTTTTCTTAAGCATGTAGCCTGTAAGTTCAGAGCCCAAAGGCATGGAGGCTCAGTTGGGAAGTGGGGCGATAGGAAGGCTGAAGGAATTCCAGAGATGAGCCTTCACTTGGTGATAATCTCAGCTATAGGGAATTCCGTCTTTGATAAAGCTTCATCACTTAGTGGCTGTGCAAATCCTGCACCCTCAGTCAGCCTACCTGAAGCTCTTAGGTGTACAGTGACTGAGCTAAGTGCCATCTGCAACTTCACTTGGGTTTACAGTAAATAGGATAAAACTAGGGTTAGGATTTTCTCAGAACACCTTAGGGATTGAGACAAATACTTGATCTAACAGGGTCCCATCCTAGAAGTCATGGTACCCTTGTAGAATGATATGGCCAACAGTGAGGTGATTCCAGATACTTCATTACTTCTTTCCACACTAAATTTCATTCCTGAAAGCTGAAATTGTCCCTACAAACCGGGATTCACAAATAATCAACTATCCTGAACAAAAAATGAAAGTGACTACCCAAGACAGTCCAACAGTGAGCAACTGTTTTCTTCTCAAGGCTGAGACCCTAAAATATAATCCCCTGATATAAAAAACTAATGTTCTTGACACCTCTCATCAATACCTTATATTAAAAATGAGATTTTAACTGGGAATATATTGGAAACCTTGAATTCCCTCTGAAGGTCAGTTGATACCTGATAAAGCAATACATAAACATTTTGACTTACTGTACAAGAGGCTGCCTTGAAGACTAAAGATATACAGGATTATGATTGAACTAAAATGAATAAAAAGAGAATGGACTTACCTGTTTGTTTCTTTCAAACCAATGTATGCTTGGGCTATTTCACCTTTATCTTTCATTTTTTGTACATCTTCCAAAAGTATTGTGGAATCTGTCATTGTGTTCTGAAGAGGAAAATGACACATTTCCACATTAACAGTCAATTCAAAAACTCTGGACCACAGACAACATTTTTCTTTCCTCCAGAACAGGGGGTTTATGTATTCTACCACACTTCTGTCCCACCGGAGCACCAGCCCAGCCTTGTGCAACTACAGGGGAGGGTCGGGCATAGGGAGTTAAGAGAAAGAGACATCTTCAGTCCCTCTCTTGAAAATCCTTACTGCTCCACTACAAGGATGGTGAAGAGTCTAGAGTACCACTGTCCTGTAAATAAAATCACTGATGGGCAGTGTGTGTTTTACATAATATATATATATATATTCCATTCCATATATATTTTACATTATATATATATATATATATATATTCCATTAAGTAGCTTCTTGGTATCCTTGCCTGATAATTGCTCTAATGCTATGTTATAATATATATACTTCAAAGGGTGTATATATATTTTTATATATATGTATATATACTTTATATATAAAAATATAGATACATTTCCAAGTATGCATAAAGCATTAGAACAATAACCGGGGAAAAACACCAAGCAACTACTGAATGAACAGAGAACAAAAGCTATTCTCTCTACTACTTCCCATCTAGCTATAATAAAACAAATGCCCCAGTAAAACACTGTAAAGTTTGACATAAAACTCATTTTTTCCCATTAAAAACTCAGTACAAAAAAGACAGATGATATGCTTTAGCAAAATTAGAAGTTTTTTCTCACACATTTAGATATATATAAATGGGAAGGATTTAGCTCCTTGTAAATATCTACCATCTGCTGCTATTCAGTTCTTTCTCCCCCTGTTACATTACAGCATGGTACATAAGTTTCTGGCAGGTCAGCATTACTAATGATTTTGTATAAAAAGCACTTCTCTGCTAACATCTTTACTTCCTTTTTTATTTTTCCTTTTTGGTCTAATCTGTCTGACAACCAATGTAATTTCCAAATCTTGCTTCTACTCAGCCACTCTCCGTCTCTCCTAAACCAGGGCAAGAACAGACTAAGAACTACTGCTCCATAGCCTCTAGAGAATAATACATTTTAGAACCCAAGGGCCCATTCTATTTGTCTCAGTAGTATATGTCTGATCTGTTAGTCAATGTTTGCTCCAAAGCCAGGTCTCACAATGAAGTGGACTTAATAAAATACATTTTAAAAAACATGATCTTAGAGACCAGTTCTGAGATAAGTTCAAGACCAGTTCTTGATAAGAAACATACTTTTAAAAAAAAATCCCACTTTTCTCCTTGTGAGCTTATAAATGCATCCTCAGAGAAGATCAACTATAAGCTGATAAGAGCTATTAACAAGAGCTTATATTTTACTGAATTTAAAAAATTTTTCCCATAAACACCACACGGAGCATTTCTTTAGCTATGATTTCTATATATTTTAGTATATCTGTCATAGAAGAATTTTTTCTCTTTCCCTGAAAGACAAAATTTTTCTATTCTACAAAGGGCCATACTCAGACTTTTTTTTTCATACTCAGATTTTTAACTTTTAAGTAGTAACTCTCAAAGACCCAACCCCTATATTAAATAATGCTGTATGTATTCTCTGATATCTGAAGACCTACATGATGTACTTTTGAACTTGTAGTAAATTAGGTAACTTGATCCTATTAACTAATCTAAAGGAAAGATGAGTTTCTTTATATGCTGCTTTCCTGACAATAAACAGCCAGTCCTTCCCTCAGATCTGGCCTACCTTAGCTAAGAAGTGGTGGTTGGGCATGGGATCAGACTTGGACCACCAGCGTTAGGAAATTCCTAACTCACTGCTCAAAGTTTGTCTCCCCCAAGCCAGTGACCAGAAGTGTAGAAAGGGTTGCACCATGTAGGAAAATCCTACCCTTCCCAGGAAGCGTGTGCTCTACTCCTGAGGCTCCTTCTCGCCGTTGGCCAACAAATCCACAGCTGCTAGACAAGAGCATGGGACAGCCTGTGCTTTTGGGTGTGCTCCAAGTTAAGGGACTCCCATCCTGGGCCCCCACACTTGTGGATGGCCTACCATAACTACTGTAGTGGGTCAGAGAACTGACTCTGAATTAGAAGTCATGGAGACCTCCCTGTGATCCAGACTGGAGTCTGCTACATCCATTATTTTTCCACTGACAAAGAGAGGGCTCAAACAGGAAATTAATTTGTAAATATCAAAATAGACTTGGTGGCCAGAAGCATCGACTGTATATACTGGGGGAATACTTATAAACTAAAATTTAGAATTAAATAGAAGTACTTACTAAAATTTTTTAAAAAATTTATAATTACCTTGTCATCCTGAAAATCACAAGTCAGCAAGCACAAAAAACAAATGGAGAAAACAATAAACCCTTAGTTCCACAAATAAATCCCATCAATGAGCCCCATCATAACAGAGAAAAGCTAACTGTAAAAACCCAAAAATTAGTATTCACAGAACCAGCATAAGGTGAACATTAATATATATATTTATGTGATAATTCTTAATTTTCAGGAACAAGTGCTTGAAATTCTTTTCGAGTTGTTTTGGTTTTTCTAATTTGTGAGTATGTGAGAAAATGACCCTCCTGTTAATGTATATGTGTGAAATTCTTATCCTAGGTCTGTGAGAGTTACAGTAAAGCTCTGATAGGATGTCATTTGTCCAAGTGATGCCTTCCAGAATACGCACAGAGGCAGAGAAGATGAACTAGATTGGCTGGGCTGGATTATCACCTACCTCCCTAGGTGTCACTCACTATTGCCCTGCAAAGAAGTTGTGAAATGATGAGTGTCTTGGACTGGAAACTGAGTGGGACAGACAGCCATGTGTTTGAAAGGTCTCAATCAGTGTCATGGGCATTTTTCTTAGCAAAGAGCAAGCTGCTGCCATGTGTAGGCTGAGAGTTGGAGAGCAGGAGCGTTGGTGAGACAGGACCAGCCCATTTTACTGGCTAGAGAGCAGCTGTGAGCTGGGTGATACCATGCTGAGAGCATGTGATACCAGAACTATGTGCTCTTTTAGCTGGATTGTTTTTATGCCCCTTGGTTCATTTTTCTTTTCCTTTCCCTTAACTCAAGTTTCCTTTGAGAATACCACTTTGTCACAAGGGAACCAGAGAAAAGAATCGTAATTTTGGACTCTGCTCCAGCCAGTATGCAGAGAGAGTCTTCTATCTCAAGGCCCAACCACAGCAGTAGTCATGGGAACCAAACAGAGACAGCCTTGGGGAAGGAGAGACGTACAGGGCCAGGCCAAAGGAGAGATTCCCGTTCCAGAATCTTCTCTCATTTCAGACTGAATGGGTTTGTGATTTGTTTTAAAATAAGAAAGCCCATTTCTTTATATAACTCTACTTATTCCTGGGATTTTTTTTTCCCTCCCAAGATTAGTCGCCAATATCTTATTTTCACAGAATTTGATATTTTCTGGATCAGTGTTGATCTCAGATATGAGTTGCCGTTCTCAAATCCAAATGTTACATGCCAGTTTCAGTACTTTAACCACATGCAGAACTACCATATCTAAGAGAAGTACTCTCAGATCTTACAGTTCATTAGATATCATAGTCATTTTTTATATGGTATGTCATGCAGCTGGAACACTTGATTGTCTAATTCTTGATAACACTTTGTTTGCTGCATGAACGTGGGCAGGGACAAAGGCCAGGTTTTAAGATGATTACCCAGAGTCCCTCTGATGGCAAATAACAAAAAAGCCCATTTTTTTACCAACACATGACAGCATCAGGTCTCAAATAACCTGAGGGCAGGAAGGACTTTGGAGAGCCATCTCTACCCTCTGGCATGGGTCCTTTCTATTGAATCACCACACACAGCCCCTCCCCAGTTGGGACAGCTCCCCCATTAGACAGAACTCCCTGAAGTAAAGAGAAATCATCTCCATGGAACTTCTACTCGCTGATCTCATTTCTAACCCTTTTAAGTGTTATCTTTCCAGTTAAATGGGCTATTACCAACAAATAATTTTAAAGTCATATTTAATGCTTTCCCACAGCAAGAAAATTTATGGATTTTTGTACTCAACAGAATTTTACTCTTTTTTTAAGTTTATTTATCTGATTTATTCATTTAAGTAATCTACACACCCAACGTGGGGCTTGAACTCACGAACCCAAGATCAAGAATCACATGCTCTTCTGACTGAGCCGGCCAGGAGCCCTGAATTTTACTTTTGATGAAAATTTATCATGACCAGATTACTACTTAAAGATTAATTTTAAAAGCTCTTTGCTCATGAGTGAGAAATGACACTTAGAAGATCATTTGGGATTTCATTTATTTTTTGCTCACTTTAATTGGCATTTGAGACAGTTTTAAAGCAACATTGAGATTTTTTTTAAAAAATGATAATATATCCTTTGGATAATATCCTTTCAAAAAATGATAATATCCTTGGGACTATCCATTTTAGTCTAAATGCTAATTAGACGAAAAATGCTCGTGTTTGCTTCATTATAAATTACAGGGAAAAAGGATAGAAAGAAAGAGTCCAGTCCGCAGACACCCGCTTTAGTCCCTTGCTCGTGCTTACCTTGGGTTGGATGGCCTCCTTCTGGCTCACCAGCTGAGACCTCAAGATGAGGACTTCCTCCTTACGGACATCAAGCTCCTCACTCACAGAGGTCAGCTGCTCCATGAGGACACGATAGGCTGGTGCACCTGGAGCCGTCACTTCTGGGGCACTTTTCTCACTAAGGGCCTTGCGTAGCTCATTTAGCTCATTTTTCAGTTTTTTATTTTCTGATTCCAGCTCTTGACGCTGTATGAAGAGACAAAGAACAGTTCACTGCTGTTATCCTCAACTTTACACTGGAATACTCATGTTCCCCCAAGATGGTAGAGTTCTTCTGGAAAAGATCATGAGAGCTACCCTAGTGAACGGCTTTCCAGGCTGTACTAGGAACTCTGTTCCACAAATTAAGAAAGCTGACATCAAGCGGAGTTGAGCAAGGTGAATGGTAGTTTGCTTCATCAACCCAAATTCCAGAGTCACATTTATTCTGGGCCTGCCTAGGTGTGTTCACAGGCCTGGAGAGATTGCTGAGTCCCAAGGGGCGAGTTTAGCCTAGTCCTCAGAAGCCCAGGTTTTGTTTGCAGGTAAATATAGGGGCAAGTATGAGGGTTCAGCTGGTCAGGTGACTTCCAATGAATGGTTCAGATGAGCAGAACCCTGAAATCTTGAGTAGCATCCTCTTATTTCCTTTGTAAAACAGAATGTAAAGAACATTGAAATCTTAGGCTTTTAACTTTGAATTAAAAAATTACCATATCATTTAAACTAATAAAATTCCATTTAGTGTTTTGGTGACAACAAACAGTGTATTTTCCAAATCACTCTGACATGTGTATGACAGGCTTGTGAAGTTGCTGGCAGAAGTCTTGGGAGGTGGGAGGAAAGGATGGGCTCCTTGTGCAATCCAGATGGCCATATTCATCCTGTACCCCTTCCATACTTTCATATACTACTAGCCATCCTCCTGTCACCAGTTAGCACTGCCCTCTGCATACTCTGCTCCAACAGTGGCAATGGGAGAGTTCTGACACGAAAATACAAGTGTCTCGGGAAACTGGCTGGGAAACAGTAAAGGACCATGCTGCCTTGTTTTTAGCACATTACACAGGCCTTATGAGAGTGGAAGTGAGACATTTCTATGTATAAAAGATAAAATATTTTATTGTTTCTTCCAGAGCAGTCACCTTGGGTTTAGAACACCATATCAGACCTCTTAACAGTTTATAGCAGAACTATCCACAGTCTTTTTTTTCTAGTATAAGAATATATAACCCTTTCTTCCATGAATTAATCTATTCTTATGTGAAAATGAATGATCTTTCCTATCCCCAGTCTCCCACCAACTAGTAACTGGTTTCGTATTGCTCATTTCTGCAACAGAAAACATGAATGTCTTTACCTGGACACTAAGCTCCGATGCAGTGTTTCCCAAACTTTAAAGTGCATCAGAATCACCTGGAGGGCAGATTGCGTGGCCCAACCCCCAAGAGTTTCTGATTCAAAAGGCCTGGTATGAGGCCTACAAATGTGCATTTCCAATAAGTTACCAGGTGATGTTGATGCTGCTGGCCCAGGGACCACATTTTGAGAAATACTAAGCTAGTACTCAGCAACTTCGTAATTTGGGCTTCTTTTTTCTTCCTTTTTATCTGGGCTTCATTTTTAACATACTACAAAGAATGTCTTTATTTGTCCATTTTTGTGTGAGGCAGGCTGATGGAAAAGAGCTGGAGTTGACAGTCCTACTCCCACTCCGTTGGCCTGATGCTTGTCTTGTATGACCCACAGCACGAGTTGGTCCTCTAGACAAAGGGTACTAAAGGAAACAGAGAGTCAGGGTAATAGAGATGACTCTTTGCTGACACTCTTTTCTTTCACTGCAAACATAAATACTACCCAAGTAGTACTTTCATTGAAGGAGCAATAGATTTATTCATGTTATAATTCAGAAAGGGTAAAAGGGCTCTTTAGAGTATTTTCAAATAGTACGTTTTTTTTTTGGTAAAAATAAATTTTCAAACATATGATGATAGGAACCTAGGGTGTTTAGAAAGTTTCCTTCTGTCTGGAGACCTAGACTCAAGATCAGACTCTACCACCTGATAGTAAATCCCTTAACTGTTCTAAACCTCACTTTAATAATCTTTAAAAAGGAAATAACTTATCTCAGAAGTTGTGACAATGACTAAATAAGATAAGGTGTAGTTAAAACTTTTCAAACTTTATATAAAGTAAATATGAGGTATTATTAGTCAAGTGTTTATCAAATGTCAGTGGAAGAGTTCTAACTATCTTCAAGGGAAGGGGTTGATAAAGGAACTGTGGGTTGGGCAGGGTGGAGAACAGGCATTCTCTATACCAATGCCACACAGCCTCAAAAGGAAGCAATAGGGATGCCTGGGTGGCTCAGTTGGTTAAGCAACTGCCTTCAGCTCAGGTCACGATGCTAGGGTCGTGGGATCGAGCCCCACATCGGGCTCCCTGCTCTGCGGGGGAGCCTGCTTTTCCTTCTCCCTCTGCCACTCCCCCTGCTTGTACACTCTCTCTCCGTCAAATAAATAAAATCCTTATAAATAAATAAATAAATAGATAGATAGATAGATAGATAGATAGATAAAAGGAAGCAGTTATCAGCAGTTCTGGACCATGGGAAATGGCAAATCCACAGAGGACAGGGTCCTATTAATGTAAATTATGTTCCATATCACACTATTAGGAAATAATTTATCAGAACTAGACTTGAAGTATTAGTACTGAAAAAAAAATAATACAGAAATCCTCATGACAGTTTAGGGAGACCCTAGGAATTCTCAAATACACATAAAGGCTTTATAAAATAATGAGTTTCCTTATGCTATGTTGTGGCTTTTCTAACTCAGCTTTGGTTATAATCATAAACCTCACTATAGTTTTCTAGCTATTCTAGACTACAGTTTGCAAAAGGAGAAAACAGTAAAAAATAAACACAAGCAGAAAATGTCTGAGAAGGATAAATTTAAGACTAATAATTTAATTAATAACCTAGAAAACTTTTAAAGCTGGGGTTGTCTTGACAGCTGACAGCCTGATAGCTCAAACTTCACAGGGCTCAAATGGTTCTGATTCTGGAAAGCAAAGAAAGGAGCCTAGTGAAGAACAACCTACCCTGATTTTATTTTTATTTATATTTTTATTTTTTAAGGTAAACTCTATGCCCACTGTGGGGCTTGAACTTAAGACCCTAAGATCAAGAGTCACATGCTTTACCAACTGAGCCAGCCAGGCACCCTCAACCTACTCTGTATCAAGGAATGGGCTCTTGTTTGTTTTATACCTCAGCTCTTGGGTTACCCAAGATGCTTTGTATTTCAGGAACTCCTGTTCCTTCCTAATCAGAGCCCTTCCCATGTTCAACTGCTCTGGGACCACAGTACCTGCTAGACAGACATTGCCTTCAACCATTAAGGAGACAATTCTCCACCTTCCTCTTCCCCCTCCCAACAGTTTCTAAAAAATAAGAACACATTTCTATTCTAATACCTAGCTATCCTTCTCTGTAAGTACATAGTTTCAGTGGGGTTTGGTGGTTAGAGCACAGACTTTAGAGCCAAAGATACGTATATTCAAATCCTATTCCTGTCATTTTCTAATGGGGTGATCTTAGGAAGTTACTTATATCTCTTAACCTCAATTTCCTTATCTGTAAAATAAGCAGAACCCTGTAAAATGGGAACTAAAATACTTACTTGCAGGATTATTGTAATAATTACAGCTAATATATAAAGTACAGGCATTTAAAAATGATGAGGATAATGACAGCAGCCAACCATAGTTGGGTACTTACTATGTGCTTGGCACTACCCAACTTTGTTGGGTACTTACTACGTGCTGGGCACTATTCTAAGCAGTTTACATGGATCACTTTATCTAATCCTCATGCCAGTCCGATAAGATAAATAGTATCATCATCCCCATTTTATAGATGAGAAAACTGGGGCAAAGAAAAGATACATAACTTGCACACAGCCTTATGGTGGCAGATCTAGCATTTGAACCCAGGCAGTCTGGTGCTAGAATCAATGTCCTTTACTACCTTCTATCGCCTCAAATGGCAGCTATTACTCCTGTTTCTGCTTAGACTGAACTCTAGCTTATATGAAATAGAATCTATAAAAAGAAACAACATGAGGCTAGAAGTAATGCCTGAATAAGGGTGAAGCTAGAACCTTGGGTGCTCTTAAGGATGTTCTCTGAGAAAAAGAGAAACTCAGAGCAGGTTGCTTGCCAAAACAAGATATTCAAAGCCTTGGGCAGAAACTTCCCATTACCTTGAGTGACTCATATTCCAGTTCTGCACCTCTAATTTGTGGTTTTTCTTCTTCCTAGGGAAAATGTAAAGTTAAAAACTTTATAAATAAATAGTTATACTTTAATTGTCACATTTTTACTCAGAATATTTCCTTGCTCTGCAGAAAATAGCGGGGAGAGTTTAGCCCTCACTACGTGAACCAAATGCTGCTCGGATAAAGTACTTCTGGGCTGAGTTTCCATTAAAGAAGAGACTGCAGAATTGCACATAAGTCCCGGGCTCAGTGCTCAGTTTGTGCATGGCCCTGGGGTGTGGTAGCACTGTGTACCTTTGCCTTGCTGCGGAGCATCTGCTCCTCCTTGCGGTCCAGCTCATCCTGCATCACCTGCTTCTCCTGCTCCAGCTCTGTGACCCGCTTCTGGAGCTTGAGGAACAATGACATGTCCAGAGGCACCTTCTTCTCACTTGGCTCCTAAACTCCAGAAATCATAAGACGGTCAAGATGATCCAGAAGATGTAAAGCCAATGCAGAAATAATGAGCAGTCCAATAGAGAAACAGGCAAGCTTACAGAAGAAATATAAATGGACAAAGAATGGCATGCCCACCCCAGCTAATGGGTAGAGATGTGCAAATTAAACAACAGAGAGGCACTACTTTTTCCCTGTTAGACTGGCAAAGACTGGAAAGATCAATAATGCCATGTATTAGTAACAGCATCTTATATAATACCGGTGAAAGTATAAGTAGGCCTTTTAAAAGGGCAAGTTAGCTGTATTTATTAAAATTTAAATGTGTATACCCTTTAACCTAACAATATACGTTTAAGAATTATCCTACAAAAATTCTTACGCAAGTACACAAGAATATATGGAAAAAGATGTTCATTGCAGCATTTTTTGTAACTGGAAAAAACTGGAAAAAAACCCAAATGTTAGTCAATAGAAGAGTTGCTTATAGTATAATCAAACTAAAATATTTCATAGCTGTTAAAAAAATGAAATAGATATACATGAGTGGATAAATACATCCTAGATAAAAGTATTAAGTGAAATACACGAGTTGCAAGGCAGTATTTATGTTACGATCTTATTTTTGTTAAAAAATTAAATGCACATGACTTTTTAATTTTTTAAAAAAGATTTATTTATTTATTTATTTATTTATTTTTAAAGATTTATTTATTTTACAGAAAGAACACAAGCAGGAGGGGCAGAGAGAGAGAGAGAATCTCAAGCCAGATGCGAGGCTCAATCTCATGACCCTGAAATCATGACCTGAGCTAAAACCAAGAGTCCGAGTGTTACAGGATTTTTTCTCCATCAGCACCCACGGTTCTTCGTCATGGCACTTCGAAAAATGAAGAGGTAGACCAGAGTGGTGGGTAGCAAAGTAAGGTTTATTGAGTGATAGCAAAGTGACGGTACGTAGCTCCCAAGGAGGAAGGGGACCCAAAAGGGTTGCCCTAAAAGATTTTATTTATTTGACAGAGAGAGAGTACACAAGCAGGGGGAGTGGCAGGCAGAGGGAGAGGGAGAAGCAGGCTCCCCACTGAGCAGGAAGCCCGACATGGGGCTCAGTCCCAGGATCCTGGGATCATGACCTGAGCTGCAGGCAGATGCTTAACCGACTGAGCCACCCAGGCACCTGGTCAAAGTATAATTCTTACCTGCTTAGTGTGTCTTATATTTCAAATTGTCAATTTTTTAAAAGACTTTTCTTCAGATATCAAAACAAAATAAGCTTTTTTTTTTTTTTTTTTTTAAGAGAGAGGGAAGAGGAGAGGCAGAGGGAGAGAGGGAATCTCAAGCAGGCTCCATACCCGGTATGGAGCCCGATATGGGGCTTGATCTCACAACCCTCATATGTCATGACCTGAGCTGACAACAAGAGTTGGACACTTAAACCGACTGAGCCACCCAGATGCCCCCAAAATAAACTTTTATAGAAAGTTTAGGAACTAAATACAAAGAAGAAAAATAAAGCCATAATCACATCTTCAGAGAAAACCTACAATTTTTGTCCAGTCTCTTTTCTATAGATTTAAGTATTGGAATATTTTCATTATAATTTTGTATTGTCTTTTAAATTTAGCATTTTATTACAAATGTTTTCCAAATTCATGATATGATATTTGAAACCATAATTCTTAATAGTTATACTGACATGTGTACCATCATTTGCTTAGCTATTACCTTACTGATGGGCATTAAAGTTGTTTCTAATTTTTTGCTATTGAAATATACTAAAATAGGGGCGCCTGGGTGGCTCAGTCGTTAAGCGTCTGCCTTCGGCTCAGGTCATGGTCCCAGTGTCCTAGGATTGAGCCCCGCATCGGGCTCCCTGCTCAACAGGAAGCCTGCTTCTCCCTCTCTCACTCCCCCTGCTTGTGTTCCCTCTCTCACTGTGTCTCTCTCTGTCAAATAAATAAATAAAACCTTAAAAAAAAAAAAAGAAATATACTAAAATAAACATCCTAGTACATATATATCTAAATATTAATGTTTTTAAGTCTGCTTAATTAGTTTATACTTCCACCAAGCAACCACCACCATGCCTGCAACAACAATGACTGTTACCATTTTTTTTAAATGGCTCAATTGATAGACCAAAAGTGTATTTAATTGTAGTTTTAATTTACATATCTTTGCCTTTTGTTGAGGTTGAATTCTTTTTATATTTATTATCTATCTTTAGTCTTTTATGAATTCTTAGTAGTGTTGAATTCAGTATTACTCCAGTTCTAAGAAAAATCTAAGAAGAATCAATTTAAACTAAGAAGTGGGGCATTTATCTGTAGGCTATCAGGGTCATCTACCCACAAACTAGTTAGACCTGGACTTTTTCTTACTGTCCAGTCTTGTAATGTTCACCAGTAAGAAAAAGTTTAGGTATATGATCTTTGCCATAAAGTCTGTCCTGACTGAGAACAGACATGACATCCTGCCTGAATGTGAAATTACTATAGATTTTCATTCATATAAAAAATCATTTCTACACATCCCACAAATACTTGTATTTTAGCTTATTTATAATGTAAACATTCCATTCATGTGTTTTTAATGTTTGTCCATCTATTAATGATGTATGTGTCCCTGAAAATTTTCATTACTTAATCTTTTTTTACACTGTAATAGAAGACTTTACCTCCCAACTTCTTTTATTGTACTTAAAATGGCATCATTTGGGAATCATCTCTCTTAATCCTGAACGGCATTTTTGTTTAAAAGGAATCTTCTCATTAAAATGGGATGGGGTGGGGTGCCTGGATGGCTCAGTCATTTAAACGTCCAAGTCTTGATTTCGGCTTAGATCATGATCTCAGGGTCATGAGATCGAGCCAGAGTGTCACGCTCCATGCTGGGTGTGGAGCCTGCTTATGATTCTCTCTCTCTCTCTCTCCCTCTGCCCCCCACCCTGCCCAGGCTGGTGCCCGCTCATTCTCTCTCTAGAAAAAAAAAATTGTTTTTAATTTAAAAGTGGGATGGGCTAACTCTTTAGATATTAGCAAATACTGCATAAAGAATGAGTTGATTGCTAGATAAAAGCAAAATTCTATAAATAGGAATATTAAAATAGGAGATGGAAGAATATAAAAAAATAACATCTGACAACCACAAAACTGCCTGAGGCATAAGGACTGGTAATTATTTAAGAGTGCTCCGCATGGTGTCCATTCTTATCCCTAATGACATATCTAGTCAAAGAGATACCATTTGTCTTCTCCATGCCACACAAGCAAGAAGGGAGATTGGGGGATGCCTGAGTGGCTCAGTTGGTTAAGTGGCTGCCTTCAGCTCAGGTCATGATCCCAGGGTCCTGGGATCAAGTCCTACATTGGGCTCCTTGCTCAGCGGGGAGCCTGCTTCTCCCTCTGCCTGCCTCTCCCCCTGCTGTGCTCTCTCTCTGCCTCTTTCTGAAAAATAAATAAATAAAAAATCATTAAAAAAAAAAGAAGAAGAAGAAGAAGGAAGATTGGGCCATCTGGCTCAGCGAAGTTTCTGGGATTTTGCTTTGCTTTCCTTCCTTAGAAAGGACTTTATCATTCAGCGCTTTTCTAAGATAGTGAAGCTTTGAAACTGACCTAAAAAATCATGGTCTCTCATCTGAGGAAAATCCAGAAGACAAGAGAATTTACTCACAAAATTACCAGCATACGTCTGCAATCATTCTGGAATTACTGCTAACAACAGCTGAGAGGGTTATGGTGACCCTTTCCCTGGGTTTGACAGGTGTGAGGAAGCTCCAGGGCAGAAGCAGAGCTGGGATAATGAGTCAATGGCTACTAAGAAAGGTGCATGACAGAGCAGGGAGAAGCAAAGGTTCCGAAAGAAGGCAGCCCCAGACCATGGAGATGCTGTGGGTGTGGGAGGGCTGCACGGCAGGTGAGTTCTCCAGAGGGAAACAGCCATGCAGGTGTCAGCCTGACTCGTGACCCACAAATTACAGGTTTGGCAAAGCTAGAAAGACGTCAATTCTTTTTTACATCCAATTTTGCTATCATTACATGACTGAGGTTGGAATTCTGTGTTCCAAAACAGTCTGAAAAATTCCTATTTTAAATTAAAAAAAAATCAATTCATAACCAAGAAGGGGCCCATTATTTTCCTGGCACCAGATTCTGAAAGAGCTACTTGGGAATACTACACATAGTAGTAAGTGCTCCTTTACTTTGTTAGGGGCAATTTGTAAACCTTGCCATTACAGAAGTAGTTGCAAGGAGAAACACAAACCTGGAAGTCAAAAGTAATCAGAAGTGCAAATTCACAGCCCATAGTCTTAGTCTGATACTTCTCTCCCACCCAACTTCCCTTCTGATAATCAATTTTTCTATTACCAGTTTTACAGATTTCTATCTTTCTGATCCTGACCACACCCAATCAAAATTGTAGGAGAGTCACTGGAAACCTGTTTATTAGAACAAAAACATGGATTTATTGAACACTTACTATGTATCAAACACTGCTGCAAATGCTTTATAGGAATTATCTCAATCTTCAAAACATCACTCTAAAGTAAGATAATAATCATAGCATATCACTTCACAGATGAGGAAACTGAGGCAGAGAGAGACTGAGGCTCAGGTTATGGACTCAGTTCCAAGGAGGAGAGTTATTGTAGTCTGTCCAATGGTCAAGACAACCCTTCTAACCAGAGCCAGGCACGTTTCAGATGCATGCACTTAGTCACAAGGAACAAGATGACCAGTTCAGTGAAAAGCCTTTCCCATTATTGAGAGATTTCCAGGTGCATGACCTACTGCTGATGGTCAGTGGATGTGAAGGACAATACACAATACTCCAGATCTGTCTGTGACTTCTGGAGCACAGTTCATACTTCATTATTCAAAAGAGATGAGCAATATACAAAATCCCACTCTAAACTAACTCTTTTTTTTTTTTTTTTTTTTTAAAGTAAGTTCCACACCCAGCATGGAGCCCAACTCGGGGCTTGAACTCACTACCCTGAGATCAAGATCTGAGCAGAGATCAAGAGTCAGATGCTTGACCAACTAAGCCACCCAGGTGCCCCTAAACTAACTCAAGTTGAGAAAAGATTCAGCAGAAATATGGGTGAGAATTAGAAACAAAAAGGTTAACTCTCCCTTCAAATCTGTAAGAATTTGGACAAAACTTGAGAAGAGTAGAGACAAATACCGTTACTAGTAAAAATTAGGTAAAGCACAGAAGAGTTTTTGAGGTTAAAAATGTAACATCCTCAATCAAAACTATCAATAAGAAGCCTCTTTGTCCTGAGTTTAATACAAAATAATTTGCAGCAAACACACCCTTTCTGTCATGGCTTTCCCCTTCCTTGCAGGAGCTGCTCAAGTTTTATTACACTGAAGCCAACAGTGTATAAACATACTTCCCTCAGACTGCTGCCAAGTGAGTATTCCCATGAAGACCAACTGCATGCAATCCTAAAACTTTCATATCCACTAGAGGCTCAGAGGCTGTAATTTTGAAATCTTCAAAGTCTAACTTTGTGGTAGTCTCCAAAGATGGTTACCAGTGATTGTTCCCAACACAAATGTCTTTTCTCCCATCAAGAGATGAAGTCCACTCCCTTTCCCCTGAGTCTGGGCTGGCCTTGTAATTTGCTATGACATAGAATGTGGCAGAACTGACAAGGTGCTGGTTCTGGGCATGGCCCCACAAGCCCTGGCATCTTTTGCTCTTACACTCTCAGAACCCATTCACCATCCTGCTGAACAGAGAAGTTGCTCAGAGAGGCCCTAGGTCCTCTTCCTTGGGCTGGGATGCAGGGAAGTGCTCCAACCAACCCCATGTGCAGCAGAAAAACTGCCCAGTCAAAATTCAAAGAGCAGTGAACATGAGTAAATTGCTGTGGTTTGAAACCACTGAAATTTGGGATGGTTTGTCACACAGCAGCCAAAAACCTGGAACAACCTCTATCCTGCTATACAGTGGCCATACTGCTCCATCAGTGGTCTGCAGGCTAACATTAGCTACAGAGAGAAACAGACTGGAGAACTGCAGTATAAAATGCCCGGATGGGAGGAACTAGAGTATGGGGCTCCAAGCAGACCAGCGTCAGTTAGAATACTGGTTCAGCCACTTGCACGCTGTGACCTTGGATAAGTTAACTTAGGGTTCTTGTATGTATGATTCCAACTATATGACATTTTTCCTTAAAATGAACAGAATGAGATGGCAGAAACTTTTCATTCCTGAGTAAAACTAAGACAAGAAAGGAAAGAATCATTCAATTTTCTTTGGCTGTTCTACCAGAAGCAGTCTATTTCTGACTTGGCCATTTTCTCAGAATACGATATAAAAATAGAAGAGTTGTGCCTGAATTACGCATTAGCGAAAATAGTATCATATTTGAAAAGAAGATCTGAGAATTGCTTTGGGGACAATCTAACTTAAAGTCACTGTACTCTTGGAGTTACAGTAATGTGCCATTTTGGTTTCATACCACACAATACAAACACTAAGGCAGATTTATAAGCTAATTTTCTTGCATTTTTGTGGACAAAAATCACATTGGTAAAAACTGTCATCAGAGGCAGCAGTTTTGCTAACTCTTGGGCACTGGTTATTTATACTATTCAAGGACAAAAGGCTTACTATTAAAAACAATTTACCTCAGTCTGAAATAAATTCATGACAAGCTATGTTTTTTTGTAATAGGGTATGTTAAGATGAAAAAGGGAATTACAAAAAGGAAAATCTGGTCATCAAAATTACATTAAAAATTAAAATGTCTATTAAAAAATATCTGTAATAAGTATGCGTGTAGATATAAGAAAATACATGTAATAATTAATAAGCTAATTAAGCACCCATTGGTCATTTATGAAATATGAAGAGTTTGAAACAACTGCTACATTTACGGGCAAATGACGTCTGCTCCGCAATGGAAATGTTCTCTGTTAATAATAGCATGGTCACATCCTACCTGTAGTGATAGGTATCTAAAATGTACCTCTGTCCTCAATGGCATATCTTCAGTTTCTGCAATTTCAGAGCTAAAGGTGTATTCAGACTCATTGCTGCTGTGGGTGGAGTCTGTTCTCTTGTGTCCAGGCTTAGGCACATTCTACAAGGCAGATAAACCAAATATAATTAACACAATATAATTAAACCAGTTATAGTTAAGACAGCATCCACCTTAACTTGGTTCTAACCCCCACTCACTAACTTGCTGTTTTCATGCCCAAATAGTCTGTTCCATGTTGTCCTTAACAAACCCTTATGAAAGGGTCACTTTCTGAGCTCCTCAAAGAAAAAGATGCACCATAGGGCAAGACAAGAAAAGTCACAAAACCAAATGCTCAAACAAAAATCATCTGTGATTATTAGAAGAATCCCCTTTGGGTTTTTTCTTTTCTTTAAGATTTTATTTATTTATTTATTTGAGAGAGAGAAAGACAGAGACAGAGGCAGAGGCAGAGAGCATGAGCAGGGGGAGGGGCAGAAGGAGAGGGACAAGCAGACTCCCAGCCAAGCAGGGAGCCTGATGCGGGGCTCAATCCCAGGACCTTGAGATCAAGACATGAGCCCAAGTCAGATACTTAACCAACTGAGTCACCTGGGCACCCCCTGACCCCAACTTTGGGTTTTTTAAGTTGTGAGTGGCCAGTCACAATGGGTGAAGTGTAAGTATAATGCCTCAGCAACCAAACATTGACTTCAGTGTTGCAATGAAATAAAACTTAGTAAAAAGTTCATGAGATATGTTTAATGATAGCAAAATCATTTTACTGCACTGTATTTGAGCATAAATGGAAAAAAAGAGAGGGGTTCTATATCGGTGACTATAATTTCTGTCACTCTTGTGTATGAAGTTGAGTCCCTTGAGTCAGCAGTGGGAAGGATGAGCTATCTGACGTCCTGGGGTTATTAATTCAGGGAATCCAGGTGACATTTCTATGACATGTGATATTATGAAACTAACGTTCAGAAAGCTTATAGAAAACAGAGAAGTTAAACAACTGCAGTCTATTCCTCTCTGCAGGAGTGACTTGAAGAAAGAAGGAATAAAAAGGCTGGATTTTGTGCCCCTCACTCCTAGGGTAGCCCCCTGCAGAAGAGGTGGAAAGGGTCAGTGGCCTGCATCTCACAGGGTTACTGGCTCTCAGAGCTTCAGAAAGACCTCTGGAAGCTTTTCTGGTCTGTTCAATTTCCTTTACTCCTCCCCCCAGCTGTAAGAAGAGCCAGAAGTCACAAAGAGCTTCTCTGCCTCTTTCCCTCCCATATCCAGCTTACAGACAGCAGACCCATCAATATGACCAAAGGAAAGCCAGCATCCAGGGGCAGATGAAAGTCTCCCAGGCCACCCCAACCTGTACTCCAGTGCATAAGGAAGACCCAAGAACACCAGAACTTCTGAAACTATCTAGCAGCTAGGGTACACACTAAAGGGGAGAATCACCCCACATAAAGCAAAGGCACTCAGATTTACTGTTTACGTACACAGGTAACCTCACGTGAAGTTCCTGGCCCCAATCAACAGTTATATGGGAAGGTGTTTATTAATAAATTGGTCCTATCATTAAGAGAAACAGGTAGGTCCACAGAAATACCTGGACAAAGGTTTTTTAATAAGCTTATTAAAGATGAGTGAGACCTCTATTTTCCCTCATGTATGTGTTACTAAACAACAAATACCTTAAGGTATGAATAGAAGCAACACTGTATATTTGCTATTTAATGTAACTTTTGGATACAAGGCAGTGGTTAAATGCTCTGGGTCTGAATTAAGAGAGAGCCAGGTAGGAATTCCAGGTCTGCCACTTACTTGTCCCTTGCCCAACTTCTCCAGGCCTCACTTGGATCATCGGGAAAAGGTGAATAATAATATTATCTACCTAATAGGGATTATGTGAAGATTAAGTAAAATAGTGCAGGTAAAGAGTTAGCATAGTGCTTGGCATATAACAAGAATTCAATTAATGTGAGCGGATGCTGCATCATTGTCAGGACCCTGCAGTAATGCAACAACTCTCCTGTGCATGGCCTTCTGTTCCCCAAGGTTTTAGCTCATATGCTATTCAAGCACAAGGACGAACACCCTACCGATCAAGTGCCCCTTCAAGATCTGTACCCCGTACCTCCTCTCCCAATCTGTCATGTCTCCAATAATCCCTTCTGTGCTTGAATCTGTTTTACTCCCTTTGTCCAGGTTAATAACCCCATTGTTGACATGCTGGACTCCCTCCTTACTTGGGATGAATCTTTAAACACTTCACAAGCCTGCATTCCATTGCCTCATTATCCTTTCACTGTCTGCTTGAATTTCCTTGGCCCTGGATTTAGTGTTTTCTTCCTTGCCTCTGCTCTACAACTGAATGTTCCTGAAGGAAAATCCTACAACCCTTCTTGGTACCAGGGCCAACTAGACCCTGGTAATCAGCAGCATGAACTTTGGCCCATGAATTACACAGATTACCAGAAGTCCTGAGGCAGTCTATCAATTCCCCTCCCTAAAGTTCCCTGCCATCCATCTGAGGAGTCTATTTACCACAAGATGCTTCCTAAGCACTGTGGCAGTGAGGGCTCCACCTGCAGAACAGTGTCAATGAAATATTAGCCAAGTACCTATCTGCAGGTGTGAAGTTTGTACCTAACCACTAAAATAAGACATTGTTATTATTTAATTAATCCCATATTATTAAGTCCATTTTTTTTATTCACTGCAATTTTTGGAAAACATCTTCTGCAAAGACTGCAATCTTGACTGCATCTGGAGCTATGAAAGGAGACCTAATGAAGAGCTGAGAAGGAAGCAAGCAGACTGATCTTCCTTCCTCTGATGTTTTCCTTTTCCCTCTGACCATTTTGTTAACTAAGAGGAATGATATGAGTCACAGGCATACAGGGGAGAGGATTATAGGCTGAGAAATCAGAAATCAAGCAGCTGAACTGCCCCCGGAACTTGATTACATTTTTTTCCACCACACTGCTGGGAACAGAATGGCTAGCAGGCAGAGACTTGCCCAGTGGGAAGGAACAGCCCTGCTAAGTTGCTGGAGCACAGCCACTACTGCTGGAGGGTCTTTTCTGGACATGGCTACCTCTCTAAAGAGGAGACCCATTAACCTCACAGATATTTCCGGGAATGTGCTCAGAAAGTGATGTATACATGGCATGTGCTTCTCTCATTCTATTTTCTGAGGCTCACAAGGCATGCAGTATTTTTTTTTTTTAACAAGGCATGCAGTATTAAAGAATCCAAGAAATTCTGTAGGAAAAACAATCTGTTTATCTCTGTTTCAACTAGTGATTCCCACATTTATATGACCCCAATCATTTCTTTTCCCAATGCCACTTCTTAATATCCCAAGTAACTAGTGGCTCTCAAAACACCTCGTGGGACATGAAGCTTAGATTCACCACAAATGTTGGCCCGGTTATCTAGTAAACAGAATTAAAATACACCCAAGAATGGAACTCTGGGGAACATGATATTCAAAGACAGAGGAAAAGGACTCTAGAGAAAGCTAAGAATGGGAGAATGTGAAGAAGGAAAGATTTCAACAAGGCCAAGTGCCTCAGGGAGATCAAGGAAGACAAGACCTAATGAGGGTCCTTCTGGTTTGTCAATAAGTGTAATGGTGACCTACTCCTACTTCTAATTTCACTTTGTCACATATAAATCAGGATAGAGTAGCAAGGTTTGAAATAACAGTCCAACTGTGGCATTTAAATTAGCTTTTTAACCTCTCTGAGACTAGGTTTTCTCTCTTCCAGGTGACAAATTGATTTCTTTTGTGTTACATAATTTCCTTTATTTTGACTTTTTAAATGTCACATTTAAAAAAATGTTGTCAAAGGATCCAGATAGAAGCAAAATTTGAAGCAAATATTCTATGCCACAGATATCAGATGATCTTGTTTTTATAAGAGATATTTCAGAGCATTTCTAGCCATCTGTACCATTAGGTTACCTTCAAGGCTGATACTTACAAGGAACAAGAGAGCTAGGGAACTCTTTGTTTCCTGACAGTAGAATAAGGAGAACAGAGAGGCTGTGTAGAACTATTAAAAGTACAAGAGGTATGTTGGTAGATGCAGAAGAGTTCTTGAAATAGACAAAATAATTTGTTACAAATAGAGACTGAATTTTCTTTTTGTAGGAATATATCTTCAAAATCATAACAAAAAACAGTAAAGGAAATACTCAATTATATAAATATTTGCTTTATATGCAAATTTTACATGAAGTCATTCAGTACATATGACAAAGTCTATAGCCCAGTCTTTAAAGTGTTTGACTTTAGGGCGCCTGGGTGGCTCAGTTGGTTAAGCAACTGCCTTCGGCTCAGGTCATGATCCTGGAGTCCCGGGATCGAGTCCCACATCGGGCTCCCTGCTCGGCAAGGAGCCTGCTTCTCCCTCCAACCCTCCCCCTTCTCATGTACTCTCTCTCTCATTCTCACTCTCTCAAAATAAATAAATAAATCTTTAAAGTGTTTGACTTTACAAAGTATTCATGAATAAAGTTATATGATTTGTGGGATCTGCTTTACAACAACTCAAACCATTGGATGGGGTGGGAAGGAGGGATAGAGTAGGGGTAGAAATGTGTTGACCATTTTGGAACTGGGTAATGAGTACATGAAGTACATGGCGAATCATTCCACTATTCTACCTGCTTTTTTATGTGCTTAAATGTTTTCATTTTTAAAAAAGCAAGTGTTTGACTCACCACCATCAGAATCATCTCTTCCTTGAGGTCATCATAGCGTTCTTCTAAGCGACTGAACTCATTCAGAAGGTTCTGATATCTCAGCCTTTCATCATTAAGATCGAGTTCCAGTTGTTTTGTTTCTTCTACTAACTTCTTCTCCATAGTCTCTGAAAGAAAGAGGGGAAAGCATAACAAAGATGGCTCTACAGAACTCAAGAGGACACACATGTACACTGACTTCCAGCTTCTCTGCAAAGGGTTTTACTTTTAGCACCATGAACTATGAAGAGAGTACCTTGGTGAATGCAGGGAAAGCAAATATCACGACAAAAAAAGTAGTTTGTTAATAACAACAATCATCTACTGAGTTCTCCCATATACTATGGACACAGTGCCACTAGTCCATTCACCGGTTATAGCACATCCTTGATAAACTCCCACTAGTCATTGTTTAATAACGGAAAGTATTTTCTATTCCAACATTCTGTTTCAGACTATCATAAAATTCTTTTCTACAAATTAGATACTTCTCCAATCTCTGAGGGAGTGGTGACTTCTCAATGAACCCAGCTGTCCTATATCCTAGGTCAAACTCTTTGCTCACCTCAGTCCCCAGGCTGAGATTTTACACTATTGAACAATGCTGAACCACCGCGGTCCTATTACTCCCCCATTTCCAACCAGATAAGACCCTGATGGCTGGTCATCTGTGTTGTTACTTCTCTTGTGTGCTGCTGGGGGTACCCTGACCTTTCCATTTCCCACCCCACTCTGCTGTCTCTGTTGTCGGCGGCTTGCATTTGCCTGGGACATCATCTGGAGATGGGAGATGAGCCCCAGACTGCAGATAAAGCAAAGTAAACAGTCTCAGATCTCAGCTGTATGTTTACCTAAATGAGTCCACCAGTCACATTTATGAATATTAAGCTTCCTGATATTTATATCGCCCATTTTATTCTCATGTTTCGTGGCTAAATCTTAGGCTGCGCTGCCTGCTTCGATTGCTTCACCATTTCTTTCCCTGGCAGCTCCATAAGGGCGAGGGCTGCAAGTGTGTTGTCACAACTGCTTCCCTGATGCCCACCACAGTGTTTCCCTCATGTAGGGCTTCAATGTGTGAATGAATGAATGAAAGAGTTTCTTCTCCCTATAACATTCTGTAAATTGTCTTTTATTCTCACCCATTTGCAGAAGCTGCATAAGGCGACCAAGAAATTTTCCCTAGGCAAATCCAATGTTAGTTCTTTGTTCTTCTCATCCAATTTCAAGTATTCTCATCATTCTGGATCTTTCCGTCAAATTCTGCATCCTAGCAGCCTTCTTTCCATGTCTTCAGTGACTGTTTTTATTATCCCCTAACAATTTTTTTTCCTAGTTTCTTTTCTTCACCTTATCCTTTACTTGTGGTCATCCTATAAGGCTTAATTCCAGATTTCTTCCCTTGCCTTTACATTATGCCCTTCAGTTGGGAGGAAGGAGGTAGTGGGGGGCGGGGGGAGTACAAAGGGTTCTCTTATCATCTCAACAAAGCTTTAGTGGGTACCTTAAGGCCTATTTCTTCCTGTCTCTAATCTTTAATCTCAATTTGTTTTCAGGACTCTCTTTTTGGACGCCCTAGCTGACATCCAAAATTTAATGCTCTAACAACTGATTTCATTAATTTTACTCATAAATAGGTACTTTTCCCCCTCAATTTCCTCATCAGTAATAATACACCATTATTGTTGTAATACCTCATCTCAAAACTTTATATTGAATATCACATCAAAAAGGATAACATTCTGGTGGTTCTTTTCATATACTATATCCTCACTCCAAACCATCTCTTTCTCTGGGTCTCCACCACCAATTACTATAGCTTTAATCTGTATCTTCTTAGCCCACATTTATATATATGTAGACTCCTTGTAAATTATCATCATTCTTATCTATCTCACAAATATCTAATAGAATAAATGTTCACATCTACTTAGTTCTCTATTCAAAAAATTAGAGTTGCCTTTTTTTTTATGTGGAAAAGAGTAATTGATCTCGGGAGGATAATATCCATTGGTTTAGCAAAAAATAAATAAATACATGTAGATACACATATATATATATTAGCTCATGATTTCTTCCTAATTCAATGGAATCCTATAAGTCATAACTAATAAATCATACATGCAGAACAAAATTAATTTTTAAAATATTACACAGGATATTGACTATACATGAATTCACATTTGTACATAGAAAGACCAGATTTAGAAGTTCACCAACTAAATCAACCAAAATATTTACAGTGCTTGCCTCTTGGAACTTCATAAATTTACTGATGACAATCTCAACTGTTTAAAACATTTCAGTTCTAAGCAAAGTTGTAACATATAAAACTTTGATCTAAGGCTGGCTGGAGTACAGTAGGTTATACCCACATGAGCCTTACCTGTCATCTCCTTAGCCTGCTCCACAATAAGATGATTGAGGGCCTCTTTTTCCTGCTTCAGCAAAGTATTTTCTTCCTTCAGATTTGATACCAGCTATAAAATAAAACAGTCAACTCAGATGGCTGCAGTAGGCAGAGGACGCCCAGTACTGAATATAAAGACCACACCACAGGCCCTCCTACCTCCACATCTCTGCACCTCATTTCTTTGCGTAGGTCCATGTAGTCATTTTTTTGAACTTGGCTCAAGCATTACCCCCTCCAGAGAGCCTTCTTGGAAACCCTCCCCAATTAAGTGTCTCTCCTACAGGACCCTGTATGTGCCTTGTTATAGCCCTTATAAATGATTTACTTTTACTTCCCTAAATAGACTAGCAATTCCTGGATGATGGACATAATTGCTGTTGTTTTACTTTGTACCTTGAGCATTTAGCAACTGCCTGGCACCTAATAAGCATTTGCTCTTGGAAGAATGAAAATGCCTTCTCACCTCAACAACCTAACACAAAGCTTATGTGTACTCATGATTCAGGTATTAAGAGAGATGAAGGAGGTTAAGAAAGATATGAAGGGCATTTTGGTTCTGGAATTCACTGGATTCCTTCTGAAGCTCCCTGCTGTCTGTCTTGAGAAAAAGAATTTCCCTTTCATCTCCTCTTAAGAGTTTTACAAGGTTGCAAACTAGTCCTTTTATTCCATGTGTAAGCACTGGCCTTACAACATTGTGAAAGTACTTAATGTCACAAAACTGTACACTTAAAAATGGTCAAAGTGGTAAATTTTATGTTATGTATATGTATATTTTGCCCCCCCCATACACACACACACACACGTGCGCACGCACACAAACAAAACACATTGACCTTTCACTTTCTAGTTCCCAGTTGGATGAGGATTCCCAGGAAGCAAAAATCAAAACCAAAGGTAAATTTTGCAAAGTTTATAGTTTACTTAGTTCATTTTTGACATAAATATGTGCTTGTGATGAGTAAAATTTGAATTCCTGTCTCTAAGCATAAATTCAAGGAACTCTTTTTAAATTTTATTTTATTGTTATGTTAATCACCAGACATTACATCATTAGTTTTTGATGTAGTGTTCCATGATTCATTGTGCATAACACCCAGTGCTCCATGCAGAACGTGCCCTCTTTAACACCCATCACCAGGCTAACCCATCCCCCCACCCCCTCCCCTGTAGAACCCTCAGTTTGTTTCTCAGAGTCCACAGTCTCTCATGGCTCGTCTCCCCTAACAGCTTACTTTTTTTCCTTTCTTCCTTTCTTTCTTCCTTCCTTCCTTCCTTCCTTCCTTCCCCCCTCCCTCCCTCTCTCCCTCCCTCCTTCCTCTCTTTTTAAAGTAAGCTCTATGTCTAATGTGGGGCTCAAACTATGACCCCAAGGTCAAGAGTCACATGTTAAAGCAATAGCTTTAATAATAAAGAGAAAGTTATCACGAGTTCAGAAACAGAGAAAGAGGGCTGTGTTAATATTCAGTTGGGTGGTGCACGTAGGTTAAGAAAGAGTCTGACTCTCAGTTTGGGCTCAGGTCATGATCTCAGGGTTGTGAGACTGAGCCCCTTGTCAGGCTCCATGCTCAGTGGGGAGTCTGTTTCTCTCTCTCTCTCTCTCCCTCTGCCCCTTACCCCATGCATGCATTCTCTCAAATAAATAAAACTTTAAAAAAATATATTCAGAAGTTAGTAGAGAAAAAGCACAGGAAATTGAGAGTCTTGCCAATAGTTACAGACAACAATCAACTTTGTTTTCATTTAAAGATGGTAATACTAGTGGAATTTATGAAAATCTATCACAGTTTTCAAATAAGCTTTATGTTGAGGTGCTTTTATTTTAAACAATACATTGCATTGCTGCTTGAGAACCTTAATGTTTTTTGTATTTAATGAAGTTTTGATAAAAACTTTGATATAAATTTGTAATGTAAAAGCACCAATCTATACGCACTGTTGTTTTTCTATCTGCATAGCAGCCCTTGGCTATAATCAGTGTGCAGACATTTGGATTTTTCCCACTCGGACTTCTCACACAGCCTTAATGCAGGTTTCCATAAAGATCTCTATTATCAGCTAATGATATTTCACTGCTTGATTGGCTTAATCATGTTAACCCTTTTGAAGAAAAAGGAGTCTACACTTAATCCAGACCTATGTATTTAAAGAAAAAGAATGTAGAGTACGTACTTAGCCATTAATTCTCTTCTTACAATACTACTTTGTCTCTGTTCTTACTAGAGTCCAAAGGTTCTACTAAAAGACCTACAACTACTCATCCATCCTATGGGAGACATGCTTGGAAAACACTAATAATGAACAATAAACAAACATTTGTATTTCACCTTCGACTGAAACCAACCTTGAGCCACATGGGCCAGGTCATGACAACAGCACATTTCCTCTGTGAAAGGGTAGATGGGGATATGAAAACTAGTTCCTACCTGCTCGGTTTCCTGTTTGTATCTATCTGCACGCTCCTCAATGGATTTTTTCTCTGACTGAGTTTGTTCCAGGTCTTTCCGGAGCTTGGCAATTTCTTCCTGCAGACTGAGGACCCGTCCAGTAGCAATCTTAGCTTCCTCCTCACTTAGTTGGAGACGCTCTAAGTCACTTCGTAGTTTCTCAGTCTCAGAGTTATATATTCCTTCCAGATTGGTCAGTTTCTCCATGAGGCATTTGTAGTCTTTGTTCTTTTAAACACATATATGTAACAGTAAGTAAACATATATATATATATCAAGTGTATTTTGAGAAAACCGTATTTATTTATCATATTCATGCTATATCATCATGGCATTGATACTGTATCTAACCAAAATACTAACCACAACCTTTACAATCAATACCCTCTTGAAGTGACATAATGAGAGAAGAGAACAGGCAGAATTAATTCTGTTTTACATCATGAGCAACACAGATGTGATTTTCTCATGGTCACAAGGTGAGTTACTACAGTAAATTCTTAATTTCCTGATTCTTAAACCAGAAATAGAAAAATCTATACTTGCTTTTGAAAATAAATCAGTGTTCTACTGAAAGCCATATGCTAGCCAGGTGATTCAGAAAAATGATAATAAGATGGCCTCAAAATCACAAGTTACTTACAAATTTCTTTATTACCTCAAAACTCTTCCCACTCAGATGAATTCCTCCCTCTTCCTGATGAATCCCCTTTATTCTGTTTCCTGCGGGGTTTTTTTTGTTTTGTTTTGTCTTTTTGCCCTCCTCAGTGTTTATGTATTACTAATTACTATGATATTGTTTGCATGTGCTAAAATATTACTTAGTAACTATCTCTAGGAAATCAAATTTTATCCCTGCAAATAGACTGTACATTCCTCAGAAGCATGGACATCTTCCTGCCTCTTTTACCATATCTCAGTGCTAAACAACTCATCTGTAAAAGGAACCTTATACTTTATGCAAATGAATGATAATGATGAAAGAGATTTATACAGTATAAAGTACAATATGACTCTTGGTCATAAAGGATTGGAGTGCTAGTAAGTCTGGCTATGTTCTCAGAATAATTTCCTCCCTTCATCCTTGCAAGTATAATCTTACCTATGAGCTTGTCACTATTTCCATAATGACATTAATGTCATTATTATTTTACTTGTTTTTGCTATGATTGAAAAGTAAAGTCAAGGGGAGACACTGCTGAAAATAATCCAGTGGAGTTCCTTAGCAGGCCCCACTTCCGGGGCTTCTGAGTAAAATATACCTGCTCATCCACTTTGCGCTGCAGCTGCATGATCTTGTTCTCCATGCCAATGTGGAGCTTCTTGTAGCGCTCCACGGAACGGGCCTCGATCTTGAGCTTCTTCAGCTCACGCTTGGCCATCATCCGCCGGAAGCAACACTGAAGGTAGATGATGGCATGCATGCTCCTCTTGTAGTGGGTGCGAGCCAGCCAGCCCCGGACCCACTTCTGAATGATAACTGCTTTGTGCTCACGGAGCATCTGCAGAGAAAGGTAAGTACAGGTAATGTCAGACCCTAGACCAGACTCGAGGTTCCACATTATCAACCCAGGTATGTCAGGCTGAGAATCCATATGCTGCCTAAAGGGAAGGATACAAAAAATTGAACCAACAATGTACTAGATGGATTTTACATATCACAAACCTATGCTTGAAGACATGAGGTATGACCAGTAAGCTGACTGTAGAAGCCAATGCTAGAGGTACTACAAAGTGTATTACTGATTTATTGACTTTTCCCCCCCAGAAATAAAAAAAATGACACTCTTGTTTGCCACATTTGAGGAATACCATTTTAGTGAGGATTTCCCATTGTTATTTCAAATGTAGCAGGAATCCACGTATGAAATTCAAAGATGGTAGGGATGGAGCTTTAAAAGAAAAATAAAAGATGAAATGAACTAATCTTAATTTTGATTTTATATTATATTTTCTAAAAAAAAAAGAAAAGAAAAGGAAGAAAAGATATTCCCCCAAACTTACAAACAACTTATAACAAGGTTGCCTTATGAGATGAATTTGTCAGTAATGACCATCAAGTAGGGATTATATAAACAATTTCCAGAAATGATAAAGAAAAAGTTCTTGAATTAAAAAAAAAAAAATTCTTGAAATTTAAGAAAGGTTAAACTAGCAAAACCTTGAGGTCCTTCTAAGTCTATGATTTTATGGAATAACTACCGTGTGATATAACTGATATTTAAATGTATGTACTTGATTAAGTATTAACAATTAGTACAAACGGATATAATGTACCTCTTATGAAATTTTATATGTAAAAATCTCTAAAACTATTCAAATAGACAGTAGTTTGATAAAATCAGTAGAATAGCTCCTGTTTTTAGATTATTTAACAAAGAAAAAATGTAACGTTCTAGAGAATACATTTAATAAGTGGCTAAGTTTTCAATACAAAAAAAATCATACGTGTTTAGGCGACCTTAACAGTCTCTTTGGCAATTGAAGGCTGCCTTTCCGGCTGTTCTCCTAATGCTAAGGCAGCCTTCAGTCTCCACTCAGTCAGCCAGTCAGCGTGTATCATGCTGCAGCGAGGCGAGCAGACCAAGGTCTCACTGAGCATCACAATCCTGAGGGAGCCCCTTGTCTGGATGACTAGCGACGAAATGGATAAGACTCAATGATGGAAACTGAAGGCTTTCAGACTTTAAAACTCAGGACACAGTGGCAAAGCTATTAATGCCAATTTTCCTATGCCATTTCCTTCTCTCCACGTTACTTCGGACACTGGTCCATCTCTGAAATTTCAGTCAAATGGAAACAGTATATAATTAGAGCTTCCACCCTCAATCTCATGTCCATCAATGAGTCAGAGAAATTAAATGACACATGTTCTCCCTTTAAGATGCCCAAATCCCACGAAGGGGAAGCTTGGACTGGACACAGCTAGGAGCACTGATGGGGTGCTCCTGGCCTGTATGTGAGCTAGCCTCTAACCTGCTGCCCCCACTGTGTCTAGTCACTGTGGGAACTGAGCTGGCCAGAGCCTCTGCTAAACCGATGGCCTCACAACCCAGTTCAGATATTCCTGAGGAAAATGGGAGGGTAACCAGTTTGTTGTATCTAAAAGGTCAAATTTAATAAGGCTTTTCCCCTCCCTGAAAGCTCATGCCTGTAGAGAAAGAGCACCAGAAGGCATGGGCAGAGAGAAAGACCTGGAGAAGCTATCTTCATAAATTTTCTTCAAAACACAGCTATATGTGTTTTACTCATTCAAGCCTCATTAACTTTCCATTTTTCTTTGTTGTCTAAAATTATTTCAAGGGCGCCTGGGTGGCTCAGTCGGTTAAGCGCCTGCCTTCGGCCCAGGTCATGATCCCAGAGTCCTGGGATCGAGTCCTGCATTGGGCTCCCTGCTCAGCAGGGGGCCTGCTTCTCCCTCTGCCTCTCTCTCTGTCTCTTATGAATAAATAAATAAATAAATCTTTAAAAAAATAAATAAAATTATTTCAAAATAAGAAAGTAAGATGAACACATAAATAGGACCTGGCCACACCCATGCACTACTTGTGACCAGAGACATGTCCCTCAAATCACTCTACTGATGCTCCTTCTAATGGTGATGCACACTGAGCTCTAAGATCCAGACTGTATTTCTGGCTTATTGAGAATATACCTTAAAGACAAACTCGAAACCTTGCCAAAACAAGAGAGAGAAAAATCTTCCATCAATTAGATCACATACTGTCAGAGGTAAGGATTAAGATTTATCTGGTGATCCATTATAGTCATGTTGATTATTGCTAGATATAAAGATTATTTGTCAAAAATTTCTGGAGCATCATATGCTAGTCAATACAACTTTTAACCACATTAATGTAATTTAGTTCCTTTTCACCATTTAAAGTCTTCTAAGATTGTTTCATTCTTGGTATGATCTTCTACCCATCTGTCATATATTCTACCCATTCAAAGCTCATCACAGTCGGCTGAATAAAGGCCCCCAAGGACATCAGGTCCTCATCCCTGGAACCTGTAAAGATTACCTTATTTGGGAAAAGGGTTTTTGCAGATGTGATTAAATTAAGGGTCTTGGGGTGCCTGGGTGGCTCAGTTGGTTGGGTTTCCAACTCTTGATTTCGGCTCAGGTCGTGATCTCAGGGTTGTGGGATAGAGCCCTGCTTTCAGGCTCCATGCTGAGCACAGAGTCTGCTTATCCCTCGCCCTCCCCCTGCTTCTGCGCTCTCTCTCATGCTCTCTCTCTCTCTCAAATAAATAAAATCTTTCTTAAAAAATTAAGGGTCTTGAGATAAGGGGATTATCGTGGATTATCCAGGTAGGCCTCAAATCCATCACCAGCATTCTCGGAGGAGACAGACAAGAGAAGCGAAGTTAGACACACAGAGAAGATGATGTGAGGATGGAGGCAGAGGTTGGAGTGATGCGGCCACAAACACAAGGGACAGGGGCAGCCACCCGGCAGAAACCGGAAGAGGCAAGAGACAGATTCTCTCCTAGAGCTTCTGGAGAGAGTACAGCCCGGCTGACACCTTGATTTTGGTCCAGTGATACTGATTTTAGACTTCTGGTCTCAGAACTCTGAGAGTATAAATTACTGTTGTTTTAAGCCACCAAGTTGTTGGTAATTTATCACAGCAGCCAGAGGAAACTAATATAGTCACTTTTTTAAAAATTTTTTTTAAGACTTTATTTATTTATTTGACAGAGAGAGAGACAGTGAGAGAGGGAACACAAGAAGGGGGAGTGGGAGAGGGAGAAGCAGGCTTCCCGCTGAGCAGGGAGCCCGATGCAGGGCTCAATCCCAGGACCCTGGGATCATGACCTGAGCCAAAGGCAGACACTTAACGACTGAGCCACCCAGGCGCCCCATGGTCACTTTTTTTCAAATTACATAAAGGGGAAAAAGGAAGGTATTTTTCCACTATCCTATTAATATAAATATGTACTTTGAAACAGGATGAAATCAGAGAGGGAGACAAACCAGAAGAGACTCTTAATCTCAGGAAACAAACTGAGGGTTGCTGGAGTGGAGGGGGGTGGGAGGGATGGGGTGGCTGGGTGATGGACACTGGGGAGGGTATGTGCTATGGTGAGCGCTGTGAATTGTGTAAGACTGATGAATCACAGACCTGTACTCCTGAAACAAATAATACATTATATGTTAATTTAAAAAATTTATAAGTAAATGTACTTATTTAATATTTAAAAATATATTTCAATTGTTGGTTTCTCCATTCAGTTCCTATGTCCACAGGAAGCCCTGTGGTATCTGGAATTTGATTAATGTCAATGGAATGAATAAACAAAGTTGGAAATAATGCCTCACCTTGCGATATCTATTTCTGGCCAAGTAACCTCGCAAATAAGACTGAAGAACAATAGTGGCCGATCGTCTTATCTTGTATCTCCTACGGACTATATACATGCGCCAGTACTTCTGAATAATGGTTGCTGCCTTGGTTCTGCGCAGGAACTTAGTATAGCTGGCCAAAGAGAAGAGGGGTGCACAGTTAGTAATCAGACAAACCCAGGACCACATCCTGTAGAGACTTGAAGCACCAATATATGTTGTTATTGTTAGCATAATAAGTAGTACCTCCATTGCTATTATTCTAATATTGTACACATTAAATCACTTATATTTGTACAGCAATTTATAGTTCCCCTAAACATTTTTGCATTCATTATCTGATTTGAGTCTTCCCTAACCCTGAAAAGTAGGATGGCCCATATTCCCTGATATGGGACAATAAAGAAAGTGAAGCTCAAAAAGGTTCTCTCTTTCTAGGATGGTCCTCATTACCCCAAGCTATGTCCCCTTTATACAGCTGATGGGCTGTCCACAGTAATCCCATACTTACTTACCACCAGCTTTCTTACATCTAGCCATTGCTAACGTGTGATGTTTCTCCCTAATCTATCTGTTTGGGCATAAGTTCTTCACCGTCAATTCATCTCTACTGAGAGTTCTAAATTAAAATTATCCTCACATGTAAATCACACTGAAGTCTCATTCTCCTCCAGATCTTCTCAGTTAATTGCTCCTGAAAACTCCTCGGTGGAATCATTATTAACTAGCACATACTCATGACTTTTAATTTACAGATGATTTCTTCAAGACCACATAAAAGTACAAAAAAATAAAAAATACGGAGGACACGAGTAGGCAGTATTTTGTAATTTTTTTGAAGATGAATCCAGATGATTCATAATAAGGGTGAGTGAAATTTTATTCTATTTAACTGTCTTGGGAGTAAATCTGTTATTCTTTGAAACTAAGAAGAGGTGGGGTGTTGCCTTCTCAAATATTAAGACCACCAAAAACTGTCATCAGTTGGACAAGGAACCAGGTGAGCCGTCTGAGCTCAGGGGCCGCGAGTCAGGCTGGACAGGCCACCAAGAGACCTACCATCGGGCCTGGTAGCCTCGCACGTATCTCTGCACGGTGATGGCCGCGTTCCGCATGCGCAGGTACTTCTTTCGCAGCAGCCACCCTCGGATGGTCTTCTGGATCCGGATGCAGGCAGCCCTCAGCTTGTCTGCCCTCAGTTTCTCTAGATAGGCCACTTGACCAGCACGGAAAAAGATCTTTGTCTTACCAAACTGGTATTTGTCCTTGTCCTATTTTTTGGAAGAAATTGTACACTCAGAAGAAGAAATGATGACAATATAAATGGTCAATCTTTTCTCCAAAAGAGAAAAAAATAAGTCTAAAAGCAGAATCAGTAAAGGGATGAATCTATTAACTAAAACTTGGGCTACATCACAATTAACTAATGGAGGCAGATTTCTTATCCTAGGCAAGTTGAGCAAATAGAAGGGATTTTTAAGGAAAACTGTAGTTTAAGAGTTATTTTCCAGAATCATTCTACCTGGAAATTATTATCTGAGGCCAAAAACTTGGTTGTGGGTTACATGCAGTTATTATTTGTGTGTTTGGATTTTAAATATCTCAAGGAAATGGAGATGGTGACACTCTCTCTGACTGACTCAGGCTGTAAGCATTACATCGGGCTGTGAGTTCCATGAAAAAGCTGAAGGGACAAAAACACCAGCATGAAGAATAAGGCAGGAAGCCACGCACACAAAATAAGAATTAAACAACAAACAACTTGGCGTATTCTGATCAAGAGTTAAATTTGCAACAGTTATCTGTTGCCTTTAATCAACAGTATCTGAAAATAAACAAACACAACACTATAAATGTATCTAAAATCCTTCTATGAATTTCAAAACTCCTTTTATAAGAACATAATCACTTGTATTGCTCACTGACTTTGTATTACAAGCAGAGTGGAGCAGTAAATACAGGCATGCATGCTATTTTTGGTCTACCACAGTCTTATCCACCTTATCTAGAAGGATGCAGGTTATTAATCATGCTCATGTCAAAAGAAGAGAGGAATTTATTTATAATAATCATTACCATGATCTGAAATTCTAAGGGAAAACAAAGAAAATCACTTTTCAGGGTAAACAGGTATCTCCAATCTTGTATGTGAACCCAGAAAAATCAGAAATCTCCATATATACCTAAAACATCTAAAACTATTTTAATTTAAATCCATAGAGTTTACATAGGCAGCTTAGCTGGAGACACAAGCAGAGCAAGAAGGTGGTTCCTCTGTCCGTCTCCCTGTCCCATCTCAGCTTCCCCGCCCCACCCCTGCTCTCCTCTACCGTTAGCCTCCCCTCTATCACACCCACACCCTCCCTGCACAGCCCTGAGCCTGGCCTGGCGTGGTCTGGGTGACAACACGGTCTGGGTGAAGGACTGTCCTTACTTTCTGCTCTCCATTCCCATCTGAACCTAGGTTAGAAAGGTGTTGGTCCAAACCCAAAAGCATGATTCTCTTTACACATTACTAAGAAAGTGGCCTTAGTTCTTCCAAAAAAACCCAAAACAAAAACAAGCTATTATTACCAAAGAAGAGATATCACGTTTACTTAATAGTTAGTAATTAGGACTAATTACCTCAAAGTGAGGTAATCCATTCAAACTAGTATAAAACAAGTGAAAATATTTTTTAAAAAAACCTTTCATGGGGCGCCTGGGTGGCTCAGTTGGTTAAGCGACTGCCTTCGGCTCAGGTCATGATCCTGGAGTCCCGGGATCGAGTCCTGCATCGGGCTCCCTGCTCAGCGGGGAGTCTGCTTCTCCCTCTGACCCTCCCCCGTCTCATGCTCTCTATCTCTCTCATTCTCTCTCTCTTTCAAATAAATAAATAAATAAATCTTTAAAAAAAAAAAAAGAAAAATTAACTACATCGTTGGGCTCAAAACCAAGATCCAGTGATGTAGTTAATTTATTAAAAAAAAAAAAAAACCTTTCATGAATCTTAAATTCTTCGTGAACTAGATTACCTGTTCTCAAAATGGAGTCCTCAGACCAGCATCATAATCACTTGGGAACTCATTAGAAATGCATGTTATTGGGCCCATCCCAGACCTACTGAATCAAAAATTCTGTGGGCTGGGGCCCAGCACTCTGTATTCTAACAAGCGGTCCAGATGACTCTGATGCATTCTGAAGTTTAAGAACTCCCTAGTTTGGCATACAAGACTTTTCAAACACCAACCTACGTTTCTTAACCAAATCCCTACTGTCCCATACATCAGTTTTATACTGGAAAAAACAACAACAACAACAACAAAAGAAAAAAAAAAACACTTTACTGTTTTCTGAGCAAATTCTATGCTTTCCTACTTCTTCACACCTTGCTCCCTATTAGGATGTCCTACTTTTATACAATCTTACCAATTCTTCAGGGCCTAACTCAAAACATACCTCTTCCATGGAATTGTTCCTCCTTCCCATAGCACATGCGGCTTTGTCTTCCTCTGATTTCTTTAGTATTTGATAGACACTAAGGCATATTATACTTATCTCTAAAATGCATGAATTTCCAAGAGAGACTATGTTACCTTAGGACAAGACTTGTTTTTTCTTAATCACACAGTATCTGGCCTGATATCTTCCATAAATAAGCACGAGATGAACTTTTATCGATAATGATCAATCTCTAAAAGGAGTGTGTCTCAAGTCTGGGTCAAGACTTCTCCAGACCTCACCATCCTGTTCCTTGACAGCAGACCATCCCCTCACTAGGTCTAGCATCCTAAGCACAGGGAGCCTTGACCTCTAAGACAGTGTGCCCCCCCCACCCTCCCAACCCCAAATAATCTGGATTAGTGGTATTTGGATTTTCCAGGGCTTTGAAATGTTACAATCACAAGGCCTTTGGCCAGTATCTGTTCAGATAAAGTTAAATGAAAATCCTTCTTACCAGTATCAGTTTCTCTAACACATTCTTGCACGTTTGCTTTCTGTCACTCAGCACATCCTTTTGCTTCATTAGGACACGGTAGCGGCTGAAAAATTCTTGGTAAGTCCACCTATATTTATAAAAAAACTCACATCAGCTTATTGGAAGAGGTAAGAATCTCTCCCAGAGGATCCCTTCCATAGGAACCCTGCCACGCTCACCGTGAGGGGAAGCCCGCTGCACTGATGCGGATGGTTTCCAGGACACCACATGCTCTCAGCTGCTGCACTGCCCTCTTCTCGTCAAACCTATGTGAACGGCAGTGATACACAAAGAAGCTTGGCAACAGCCACAAATTACTCTCCCCAGTCCAGAGATCAAACTCTTTTGTAAGGAGCCAGATGGAAAAATTAGAAAAGAAAACATTCAAAAGTTGGAGTGGGGATCACAATGGAGAACTCTGTGTGACAGTGGGGAGGAGACAATTAGCAGTAAAAATAAAGAGCAGAGCCATAAACATTATCTGTACTTCACACCACAAACCTGTAACAAATACCACTGGGCATATTTAAAGAAATCTAACACTGCTCAGTACTTTGCCCATACTCATTAAATGGCTTGGTCTGATGAGCTGTTCTCTTAGTTCTTTAGCTCGCCATATATAGCTTCCCTGGAATAAAGACTGGCCAACTCTGGAGATTTCTCTAAGAACAAATTAAATATGCCCCATCCAATTATTATTTTTTTAAATATTTGTGTTCTAAAAGTTCTATTCAACTTTGTGTGTACATACAAAGGACTTATAGTGTCCACACCGATATCAATTATTTTTATTTTGTACTATATCTTACTTTATTTTACTCTAGACAAATGGCATCTTAACATTACACCAACACTAAGAGAGGAAGTAGCAAGGCCTGCCCCTTGCTGGACGGTCACTCTTTGTACTCCCCCAGCTAAGCCCTCAGCACCTTATCTGAGGCTTGTACTATGCGGTCTTCTCGAGTGTTCTGTTGGCTGTGGGAGATGGAGTTGGCTGATGGAAGGTAACGGCCCCTAAGGTTGTCCAGGAGAGTGGCCCAGGCTGTGGCAGCTTTTTCTGCCTCCCATTGCCTCCAGAAAGCACTTCTTGGCCATCAGGAGGATATAAGTCTTTCAGAACTGCCCTGCATCTAAGGCAGAACCTCAGAGGGCAGCATTGGCAAGGGGTAGGAAAATGAGCACTCGTACCCTATGCAGTGAGAGTGGGACTTACAACCTTTGGTAAGTGTGCCTAATCTGACCCACAAATTCCCCTTCTAGAAATATATTATCCTAAGAAGATACTCAGGCAAATATACAAGAATGTTTGGCAAAATGTATTTATCATAGCATAGTTGGAACGGTCATCATTTAGGGAATAATTTAAATAAATGATGACATATCTATATGATGAGATACTATGTAGTCATTAAAATGATGATGTGGATTTTTATTTACTAATATGTAAAGCATCCACAATTTATTAAGTTAAAAGCAGATACAAAACCACAATTACAACACAAGCCCCTCTTATTAGTGTCTCTCTCGCTCACACACACACACACCCCACAGCAGGGAAGAAAGGGATATTGGTTGGTCAAGAAGGATGTATGTGAGTTAATACCAGTTATCCCTTAGTGTATAATGAATGTTTTTCAATTTTTTATGCTATTTTATATTTTAAAAACTGTTTTTACAATGCATGTGCATTACTTTTAAAATTAGAGAAAAACTGCCATTTTGAGGGAAAAAAAAACTTCCCCCTCATACATTGTATTTGATGTAGGGCAAGACATTTGGTAATAGTAGACAGGCTCTGATGGTTTCAACAGCTGGAAAGTAGCAGAGAGAACTGTGAACCTTCGCCAAAGCAGCCTTATCCCACCGGGCTCTGGTTTTAACTAATGCCCAAATTAACAAAAGCCCAGAAGGATCTTGAATTAAAGTGAATTCAAAACAGAAAGTAGAACTAGAAATGCCGGGCGCCTGAGTGGCTCAGTCATTAAGCGTCTGCCTTCGGCTCAGGTCATGATCCCAGGGTCCTGGGATCGAGCCCTGCACTGGGCTCCCTGCTCCGTGGGAAGCCTGCTTCTCCTTCTGCCCCTCCCCCTGCTTGTGTTCCTTCTCTTGCTGTGTCTCTCTCTGTCAAAAAAATAAATAGAATCTTTAAAAAAAAAAAGAACTAAAAATGCCTGGTTGACCTCAACTTTTAAAATCTTCTGGAGGTCTGGAGAAGTCTTGACCCAGACTTGATAATAAATTAGCAGGCCAGCTGCTAATTTATTATCACATTCTCCGAAGGAAATGAAAACTTAAAAAAAAAAAATCTATTAACTAGTGATTTCCCTCTACAAGACATGAAGATTTACCCGAATATTTTTTTTCCTTCTGTTAGTATGGGAATCCTTATGAGACTTGGATGCTTCTTAATTCAGGAGTTGAGAAATACTTACGTGAATGGGAACTTGAAGTCATTCGGCTTAATGCAGCGTACATAGTGAGGGGTAGTGGCATTGAGGGTCTCCATAAGCAGGTGAAGGGAGTTTCGGAACTGCGTGAAAAACAGAAGAGAAAGGGCCATCAAGTTTTATCAAAATCGATGTTGTAAAAACAATTTAAAATTTTTTCCAATGACACTAACGGAGATTTGGAGATGATTCTGCCTCCCGTGAACTTGACCCAGCCTCAGAAGGGGGCTGCTACTAAATAAGCATATAGGGCTTTAGGTTAAAATTTGCTTAAACTCTGCCATTTATATGCTTATTCTACTAAATATACATTTGTTCTCCTCCCACCACTTTTCCTTGCCACTCTTTTCTACAGACTTATTTTCTTAGAGCTGTTTTAGGTTCACAGCAAAACTAACTGAAGAAGGATTTTCCATACACCCCCTGCCCCATCGCAGGCACCAGCTCCCCAATTATCAGTACCCCCAACAGAGCAGTACACTTGTTAAGACTGATGAACCTGCTCTGACAAATCACAGTCACCCAAAGTACATCACTTACATCAGAGTTCACCTCCTCCTTTAATATAGGCTCCTGTAGCTTTCTGTTGTGAACTCAGAATTTTGACTAAAAATATAATCTTACTTGAAGAATATTAAGTCCATTTATCATGTACACTGGGAATTCTGCCGCAAGAGACTGAAAAAGTAGCAGGTGACTTCCAAGAGCGCAAGGAATGAGCAGGAGGGTGGGAGAAAACAGCCACCTTGGGGCTACCAACAGCGACACGAGGTCAAGCCTGGAGGCTCCAAACCTGTGTTGGGCCCTGCTTCCTATTTCACCTGGGCACACGATCCCCCACATGGGAAAGCAAACTGACTGGCCTCCTGTCCAGAACCCCCAGCCTTGGTCAGGCACTGTGCATGTGTGTAGTATTTCCCACGCCCCACAGAGCCAAGGACATCGAAGAAAAGAGAGCGCTCTGCTCCTGCACTGAGGGAGCTGGTGCTCTACACAAATACAGAGAGGAAATGGCCAGAGGACAAACCAAAGGCAGCAGTGGTCTGCGAGGGAGGATATGCACTATAAAAAACAAGACCTAGAGAAGATTATTTTGGGACAGGCTTAAGCAGAGTCATGGGTCTAAAGCTGGGTGGAGAGAGCAGGAGGGGATGGTGTTACGTGTTCTCATAGTAAGAGCTCTAGCCTTTCCCCACCTGAGGACCCCACGTGGGGGACTGACAGAGGAAGACCTGAGGCTTCAACTGAGCTTGAGGGGAAGGAGCCCTGCAGTGGCAGCTCCCCAGAACTCACCTGGTGCCCCACTGTTTTCTTGTGCTCTTTGGCCGCCTGGCCTGGTCTGCCTTTGGTGGGCTTTGCAGGAATACGAGTGAGGGGCATGCGCCCTGACGAGGTGGCTGATGTTGGACTGATGGCCTTCTCATCATCTTGAAATAATTCTGGTAGCATCTTAAACTGAGTCAGAAACAATAAAAGATAATTACACTCTAAATAAACTCAAGTGTAAACCTTCACAGAAGACTTGGAATCCACAGGGCTTCCCCTCCTTCAGTAACCCTTTCCAAAGTCTCATTCTGGAAATAATCAATATCTGTGTTAGGAAACAAAGACATGAGAGGAAGGTGACACCCATGCTACAAAAATATAGGAGGAAAAAATGCAGTGATTATATGGCCTTCTTTGTGGGAAACAAAATCAAAACTACTCCCCTAACACTTGAAATCCTAATCTACAGAAAATGGCCACTATCAACATACTACTGGTCTTGAACTACAATTATTTTATAAGCAAAATACTAATGGAAAGTCCTATCTTATTACTTCAGTTCCACAAAATATTTTATCATCATGCTTCATTTGTCTACCTACTAGCTCAAATGGTGAGCACCAGCTAAACAAAATTCACTGAAAATCTCAGCAAGAAGGGTGTCACAAACTAATTCTCCAATATTATAAGATTAAAAAATAATCATGATTTAATAATTTTTGGAAAATAACACAGATTTATAAGGAAAAAAATTTAAAACCCTGCTCTTGTCCTGTATCCTTTTATATTTGTTAAGGGATTGATAACTTGATTGCATAATTCCTACAATCAATTTTGTGTTGTACCAGATTAGCACTATGAAAGATTATTAAAAGATCTGGCATTTAACAAGTGGATAGATGGTATTAGTCAGTATGGAAGGGAGAAATTTTATGGAACGAAAGAGACTTCAAACTAAACTACAGGAACATCTTGACATACGTATATATCTTTTCAACAGTGACACAACCCGCATTAAATAAATCCTTCAAATTAAAATTACAACTACCTATTATTTGTCTAATAATTTCAGAGTATCTTCAGAAGAAATAATTTTCTTAGAAGAGTGCTTCCATTAAAAAACAAAATCAGAGAATTTCATTTGCTCTTAATGTGTATTTAATCATAAGGGTAATTTAGGAAATAACTCATGATGTATAAAATAAATTGTTATACAAAACATACCAATAATGGTTGCTTGCTACACAAATGAATGTATCCCTTTTATAGAAAAAATAATATATTCCAGCTTGGTTGGCTATAAAGAGGAAAACATGTTGCACCACTATCTTGTATTACAATGTTAAAGCTGTGTTGCAAAGGGGAAAAATAAGAGTCTCTAATAGACTTGATTTGAAAACCCAAGCTACGTGTAACATGCACCATCCCCCAGTCCAGCTGCAACAATGCTACACAGACTGCAATTACTCCAAATGATTCCTCAGAACCCATAGCTACCTTGTGATAATTAAGGATCCACTAGCCAATAAGAAAAATTAGTCAGAAGAAAGACACGACTGATTACGGGTACCTGGGGAATAAGAACCTGTGAATGTTCCATTTAAGCTAAATTACCTAGGCAGAGTAGTGACACTAGAATTTTATGGTTTTCATCACTATTCATAAATAGAAATAATTTATAATCTAACTGAATAGTACTCCGGGATTGGCACTAGGAGAGAATTTTCTCCTACACATCAGTCCTATAAGCTATAAAGCATTAATGCCAAGTGCTTATGAGTATAAGTAAAAAACTGACAGACACTTACAGAACTCAGAGTCATTATTTTTCTGAGGGTTAAAACTGGAACTTAGTCTTGGCCAACAGACACATGAAAAAATGCTCACTATCACTCGGCATCAGGGAAATACAAATCAAAACCATAATGCGATACCACCTCACACCAGTCAAAATGGCTAAAATTAACAAGACAGGAAGTGACAGATGTTGGTGAGGATGTGGAATATTACTCAGACATCAAAAAAAAAAAATGAAATAATGCCATTTGCAACGACATGGAGGGAACTAGAGGGTATTATGCTAAGTGAAGTAAGTCAATCAGAGAAAGACATTTATCATATGATCTCACTGATATGTGGAATTTAAGAAACAAAACAGAGGACCATAGGGGAAGAGAGGAAAAAATAAAACAAGATGAAACCAGAGAGGGAGACAAACCATAAGATGCTCTTAATCATAGGAAACAAACTGAGGTTTGCTGGAGGGGAGGGAGGTGGAGGGATGGGGGAAATTAAGGAAGGCATGTGATGTGATGAGCACTGGGTATTACATAAGACTGATGAATCACAGGCCTGTACCTCTGAAACCAATAATACATTATATGTTAATTAATTGAATTTAAATTTAAAAATGTTTATAGAATATTCCCACAGAACTTAAAAAGACTATCTTAGAATCAACTAGGAAAACAAAAGTGCTGGTCAGTAGTCTAAATTCCCATGAATAATTATAGATTTTTAATGAATATCTGAATATTCATTTTGTTAAACTAAGTTTAGTTTCAATTAATTTGAGTGCATAAGGCCATGTTTCCAGTGCATCCGTTTAAAATGATACAGTGGGGCGCCTTGGTGGCTCAGTTGGTTGAGCATCTGATTCTTGATTTCAGCTCAGGTCATGATCTCAGGGTCCTGGGATCGAGCCCCAGGTCATGCTCCCCACTCATTGGGGAGTCTGTTTGTCTCCCTCTCCCTCTGCCCCCCAACCCCGCTAGTGCTCTCTCTGTTTCTCTCTAAAATAAATAAATAATTCTTTAAAAATACATACATACATACATACATAAATAATGCAGCAAAAAACCTGTTTTCTCTCAGAGTCTCTCACAAAGGCACAAGAGAGTCTAGAACCACTGTGGAGACAACAATTTCACATAAAACTGAAAGACAACATTGCATAGTGGTTAAGAGCAGACTCTGAGCCAGACAGCTTGTGTTTTAATTTGGCTTGAAAACTTATTAGCTATGAAATCTCTGTGCTTCAGTTCCCTCATCTGTAAAATGAGAGTAATGATTATATCACCTCATTATAAAAATTACATGAGTTAACATTTGTAAGGCATTTAAAACAATACCTGACACACAGTTATGTATTTGATAAATTAAAAACTAATAGTAAATCTGATTTTGTTAGAAAAATCATTATTGTTAAAAAACTAATACTTAAAAAAAAACAAAAAAACTAATGCTTAAGTAATTAACACTTTAATGAATATATCCTGATTACAGAAAGCCTACATTGTTACCTTGCTGGATTTCAGAACTTTGATTTGTTCTTCAAAAACAGTGTCTTTATTCTTTTCCAAAAAGCCTTCACACTGGTATTCCACCTGAAAACACATGCAAAAATCTTCTTAACTAACAGACTTTTGAACAAATATTATAATCATTAACAACAAAAATATATTAGGTTCAGGCTATATGACTGGTTCTCAGCAAATTGGTTATCAGTTTTATTCTAAGAAACCAGTACCATTCTTGGGAAGAAGTATGTTAACTCTAGAGTAAGACTTCTCAAATACTGCTTTTCCTAGGGAACAGTGGTAGTGCTAACTAGTTATGGTCTAAAAGATCCCCCCAATTCATAGGTAAGCAGACTCCTAAGAAGTTGAGTGTCTTCTCCCATGCTGACTCAATCACAGTCTCTATTCTGACCCCTCCAAGGTTTTCAGCAATCTGAGGCAGCAACTGTAATCAAACACATTAACATTTCTACACTGAAGTATGCAAATATCCAGCCTAAGTGAGATAAAGACTATACATAACCTCATGTCAGTTCAAGTCAGAGATCAGGTCTAGACATAAAATGAATTATGAAAAGACTTTTTAGTTTTGAGTTTCTTGGATTTCAGAATTATAGAGGATTGTAGGCTCATATTTATTTCATAATATAATTCCATTTAGGTTAAAGGAAGAGAAAACCAACAAAGCAACACTGAAAAATACTTTTCCTCTAAGACACTAAAGAATGCAAGTTTCAGCAAAGATAAAAATGATATCTCTTGACTATCAATTTTTTTCCTCTTTGAACTTAAATATTCAAAAAGAAAAAAGATAATAAACATTCCTTACTTTGTCAGCAAAATGTTGGATGATGAAAGCTTTGTTTGATAGACGGGGCTTTTCAAAGAGTGCACATTTGTTCAAATGTGTGTTGTACAATTTTTGGGCCCAAGTGTCATCTGTGCCCTTAGGCATCTACATTCAAGGGAGAAAAGAAACAACAACAACAACAACAACAACAACAACAACAAAATAAGGTGAAAATTGTTATAAGGCTCTTCTGAGGCATCAACCAAAAGACCATTTTTTGGCTTTTCTAACAACTTTTATATGCAATTAGGAGCTCATTCCTCCCACATCACTCTGTTAGACGCCAAAACCTAATTACTAATGAAAAGCAATGATTGCGACCTTCTTATGGATGACTCAGCCCAATCTTTGGGCAACTCAATCTGTCTATACCAGGAATCATCAAATAAATATTCTACCTGCTTTTAAAACAACAAAAGCCTCACAAATAAAAGAACTATCATGATTTTATGTGTGTGTGTTTTTTTTTTAGGTAAGCTATATGCCCAATGTGGGGCTTGAACTCATGACCCCCCTAAGATCAAGAGTCGCATGCTCTAGCGACTAAGCCTGCCAGGTGCTCCATATCAGGTATTTTCTTAAATTTGTTAAATAAAGGTAATATCTGCACACAGTGAAATATTTTCATAATTCAGAAAGGTTTAAAACAAAGAAAATATATTTAAAATAAATATAATTATATTTATGGCCACTAGGTTGTTACTCATTTTTGTTATTGTAAAAATGGCCACAATTACTTCTTTTACATATATATCTTGGATACTTTTGCAAGTATATTCATAGGGTGAACTCCAGCAGTTCCACTGTTGGGTCCAAAGGTACATGTGCTTATAATTTTGATGAATATTGTCAAATTTCCTCAAAAATATGCTGTATTAACTCACATCCTACCATAAATGAATGGTATTATCAAATTTAAACTCACCTATCTGGGGCGCCTGGGTGGCTCAGTCGGTTAAACGTCCGACTCTTGATTTCAGCTCGGGTCATGATCCCAGGGTCCTGGGATCGAGCCCCATGTTGGGCTCCAGCCCCGTGTTGGGCTCCCTGCTCAGCGGGAAGTCTGCTTGAGATTCTCTATCCCTCTCCCTCTGCCCCTCCCCCAGCTCACATGCATTCTCTCTCTCAAAATAAATAATAAAATCTTAAAAGAAAAAAAAAACTTGCCTGTCTGATAAGTAAAAAGCAGTATCCCATTTTTGGTTTGATATGCATTTTATTTAATTTCAAGTGAAACTGAGCATTATACTCATTCTTAATGTTGTAGGAAATCTGGATGCTTAGGAGATCAATCTATGGTATAATTTATGACATATAAACTAAAGAGGAGTTAAGAGAAAGGATAGGTTATTTGTCTAAGATCACTCAGTTAGCAGGGAAGCTGGAGATCCATTATTTTCCCAACATGTGGGTCTTCAAATATTAAAGCTAACACTCCCTTTCTACCATATGTATCAGTGATAAAGAACAAGCAGTCAATTTTAAAATCATGGATATTTAGGACTATTATTTAAAATATCTTTTGTACAATTTCTTGCATTTCTTCAAATATGTCATAACACTGACAAAACAAAAAAGTACCAAATATAACAAAGGTGGCTAACATTGGTAAGCAGTTGTGTCTAATGTCAATTTTTCACATAACTGAGAAGCGGCTGAAAAGAGAAAGGAAATTCTCCAAGTTTCTTTTTTTTTTAGATTTTTAAAAAGATTTATTTATTTGAGAGAGAGAGAGAGAGAGTGCAAGTGGTGGGGGAGGGACAGAGGGAGAGGGAGAGAATCCTCAAGCAGACTCCCTGCTGAGCATGGAGCCTGACGTGGGGTTCAATCCCAGGACCCCAAGATCATGACCTGAGCTGAAATCAAGAGTCAGCCACTCAACCAACTGAGCCACCCAGGTGCCCCAAAATTCTCCAAGTTTCGACTGTATTTAGAACCCTTTGGGTCTAGTGACCTTTCAGAATGCAAGGACGGTGATCTCTCACTTGTGGCCACAGTGACCCCGCATGGTATACTAATGAATCTCTGCTTAAACCCACTGACCTCTGACCTTGACAATCTCTTGATAGACTAGGTACGTCAGAAAATCATATTTACCTTGCATTCCTCATCCAGCAAATCTAGAATGCCCAGTTTAGATTCTATAAGATTAATGCAAGGCTGATTATCATAAAAATCTATGAGTGTCCATGGAATTTGTTCCTTCATATATTCTTCCTGTTCTAATTTGAAGACATGCTGAAATGAAAAAGAAAAAAAAAACTGGCATTACTGTATCATTATAAGTAATGTTAGTCAAGAAACAACATTTATAGAAAACACTCTAAGAGAATACGAACATAATATGAGATAGTCCATGGCTTCCAGCAACAATAATCTTGTGGGAGAAACATGTTTTACACACGGAGAGTGATATAAAAAGCAAATAAAAACCACAGATAGCAAAGCCTCAGCTATATAGGATTCTTGGTAAACAAGTAAATCTACGTATGTAGATGTGTTAAACAGCTGACAAATGTAGCAATCTTCAATTTTTTTTATATGTATACATCCAACGCTGCACAATATACTTTTTGGCCTCAAATTATTGCACAGTGCTGCTAACAATGCCTTAGCTGGCCTTGGACTATGCAGAGCAGATGCCCCCTAGACTACTGAACCATGCCGGGTGATGCTTACAGCACAGCAAAGTAATTCTCTTAAGGTACAGTGATGTTGAAGTTCACGTGCCTCAGAATTAGATAACAGTGTTTTATGTCTGCCTCTATTATTTTCCACAGTCAGGGGATCTACAGCTCAATTTTCTGAATTCTACATCCAATGCCGCAAGCAGCTGCAACAAGGACCAATCCATTGCTCTTTCTGCTAAATGTTTTAGCCACCATCCTCACCATTGCTTCTAATCCCCATTCGCTCATTTAAGCAAAAATATCTATCGACCGTCTACTATGTGCCAGTCACTGCACACCATTAACAAAGTAGATGTGGGTTCTGCCCTCAGGGAGTTTAACTAGTGGGAAACACAGACAGAAATCAAATAATCACAAGGAATCACAAACTGTAGTAATTTTACAAAGGAAAATAATGTAAGCTATGAGAGCAAGAATCCAAGAATCCTCATCCAGTTTGGATATAGGGTGGTGAGGAAAGGCTTTCCTCCTATCACTCCTTCCTGTGTGATAGGAGCTCTGCAGATGAATGGTTGTTCAGTTAGTCTAGATGGAAGGGCAATCCAATCCCTGATACAGTTCTTGCTTCAGGCTGCCCAACCAATATAGCAACCCACAACTTCTAGTGTCTATAAGATGTTAATGACCTCTACTCTTTGTTCTTGGGGATTTCTGCTTTCTTTTGCTCTTTTGTGTCCCTTCTTCTCTCAGATATTTTGATGCTTTTTCTGGAAAGAATAGCCCCCTGTGACTTTGACCAAACAACACATATTTTCTAGGACCCGAAGACCCATGAAACTTAGGTGTCACCAAGATTTCTGATACATATTCTCCTTGTGCACTTGGAACTTTCTCACTTTATTCTGTACTTATTATAATGCCCCTCTTGGCTCATTTGCAGCATTTACCAGCTGCAATAAGCTCCAGCAATTTAAAAAAAACTAACAAAATGGTCACCCATATGAATATTTATGTCATGTTGATCAGAAAGCAAATTTCTTCTGCTCCTATGATGAATGAGAAGGCAAACAGGGCACGTGTCAGCAGGATGCCCTGACTGATGGCACCAATATTTTCCAAAGCAATGAGCCCTGTTCTTTTTTTAATTCAATAATTTATACGCAATCTCCACACTGACAGAAACACTGATCCAGATTTTAAATAGAGCTTGTTTCTTATACACATTTCTATGCCTAGTTTGGAAAAGTCCATGAGGCCTCAGAAATTTTGGATACTCAATTGTCAAAAAGACAACGTGGGCATGAGCTAGAGATCCTTGGTCAATATGTAATGACTGCGAGCTGTAAAAATGCCGATCATCATGTTTTTCATGCCCACTGCACCACCCATAATCCCTGCCAAGGGAGTGGCCCAAAGCAGCCAAGTTCTTTACTGGGAAACCCCATCTTCTTAGTCACAGCTAGTCAAATGCTAGAGATCTGTGATGGAAAAATGAATGAAGTTAACCAGATTCTCTTTCTCAGGTGTAAGAATTTTGATATGGGTGAGAGGAGAGGGGTGCCTGGGTGGCTCAGTCGGTTAGGTGTCCAACTCTTGATTTCAGCTCAAGTCATGATCCCAGGGTTGTGGGATCGAGCCCCGCATTCGGCTCTGTGCTTGGCGTGGAGCCTGCTTCAGATTTTCTCTCTCTTTCTCTCTCTGCTCCTCCCCCCGCTCTCCCTCTCTCTCCGGGGGCCGGGGCGGGGGTGGGGAGAGGATGAGAGGAGCAATCCAACCACTGCTGGGTTCACAGGGAGCCTGAAGTGATTGAGGAAGCAGAAACCTTGAGAAAATGTATACAAAATAAAAGGGAAGAATAAGTCATCTGATAGTAAGAGGGAGTGGAGCAGCTATGCAGAGAGAAGCTAAGATGCAGTATAGTGTGTGTGTATGTGAGAGAGAGACAGAGAAGGACAAACAGACTTGATAGAGGCAGAGGGAAAGAGAAAGAGAAACAAGAGAGTCAGAAACACACATGCAAAGACATGGGGTCCTTGTCAAACGGACAAATGAGCCAATCCCTAATGAGGGCAGTGTTGGTTCCTTATATTTACAGTCATCTTGTGCCAAAACATACTAGGAAAGAGCAGAGGCTGTGGATGATTAAAGTATTAATCTCAGTAAAACCTTGAAAAAGATAATGCTCAGTTTAGTCTCTGATAGGTTTTTATTAATGTTTCTTATGTAAAGATGAGAAATACACCAATCACATTCTTATGGAAACAGTCATAAGCTTAAGGCTTGAAGATCACCTCTGCATTATTTCACTGTGCTAAGTAGCTTATTAACTTGCTAAATAAAGATGGTCCAAATTTTCATCAGAGTATATGCAATATTTTTTAAAAATCAAACAGTCTGGGGCACCTGGGTGGCTCAGTTGGTTAAGCAACTGCCTTCGACTCAGGTCAGGATCCTGGAGTCCTGGGATCGAGTCTCGCATCGGGCTCCCTGCTCAGCAGGGAGTGTGCTTCTCCCTCTGACCCTCTTCTCTCTCATGCTATCTCTCATTCTCCCTCTCTCAAATAAATAAATAAAATCTTTAAAAAAAAAAAATCACACAGTCTGAAGGTTTGATGATGACAAGCAACAATCCCTTGTCCCATCCCTCAACCCAGTCTCACTCTCTGGAGGAAGCCATTTTTAACTTCCTTAGTTATTTCTTCTGATATTTACCTCTAAAGAATATGTTTATCCACTATTTTTTTATGTATTCATTGGAAACATCATCTATTGATTTCTTGAAGAGACAGATGAGGCTAAATTCATATATATCACTTCTCTACTGTGCCCCTCCCCAGCCCTCCCAATATTACTACTTTTAGTTCTTTTGATTTTTACTAATTTTGTAACTTAAAATACCTTTAAACTTCTATTTTTTGTTCATTAACTATAGACCATGCCACTTGTCCTCTCTCTTTATAAAATGAGGATACTAAGGGCTCTTTTCCTGTCCTTCAGCTCTCTTCTCTTCCATCTTCAACTTCTATGGGTGACTTTTTTGTTTTTTGTTTTGTTTTTTGGGTGGCTCATTTTTAAGATTTTATTTATTTATTTGACAGAGAGAGACACAGCGAGAGAGGGAACACAAGCAGGGGGAGTGGGAGAGGGAGAAGCAGGCTTCCCGCTGAGCAAAGAGACTGATGCGGGGCTTGATCCCAGGACCCTGGGACCATGACCTGAGCCGAAGGCAGATGCTTAACAACTGAGCCACCTAGGCGCCCCTGGGTGACTCATTTTTAATATCCTCTTTCAGCAGTACTAATAACCATCCCTAATCTTGCACTTAGAACTGTACCTGGCATGTGTTGATAACTTTACATATCCTAACTCATTTAATCTGTACAACCATATGTAGTAGGTACTATCATTATCCCCATTATACAGATGAGGAGACTAGGGCCCAGGAGGGTCAATTAACTTGCCCAAGGTCGTATGAATAATCAATGCAGAATGCGATTCCAACCCAAGCAGTTTACTTTGGAGGTCTATGATCTTCACTATTACAGTCTACTGCCCCTCATTTTTAAATATCCTGAAATTCCCCAATACCATGATAATGCTTGATGATATTTGATATTACTACTCCACAAGAGCCATTCTCAAAATATTCCCATTGCCACTGTTGTGGTGAATATCTCAGACTGTTGAAAAGAGAGTATATAAAATAGAATACGTAAAAATAATACGTAGAAAAGAGAGTGTGTTCTGATTTTTCATGCTGGCATCTTGCGTATACAGCAAGTAGGAGTTAAGATAGTCTTCACTCTACAGGAACAACACACTGAAGGATATCCTGGGCTTGAAACTTCAAACTGCCTATGTTACTACCTAACACACTCCCTGCTTCCATCACTCAATTTATTTCAACCAAATTTTTACTATTCCCAGGTTGTAATCTGAAGATCACCTTGAATCCTATCTGGGCCATACACCTTTCTTTAACATTGCACTCATTTATTAATCTTAAGTTCCTCAGCAGCTCAGCTGTTCTAAAGCCCACATAATAATTGCAATTTACAACCTCATTTCAGAAACTAGACTTAAAACACAGAGTGGGAATTCAAAAGAATTAATTTATAGTAGAAATTGGTTGAAAAAGAAAATTCTTACCATATTGAATTGTTGTTGTAGTTTTTCATTTGCATAATTTATGCAAAACTGTTCAAAACTATTTATCTCAAATGTTTCAAATCTGTAAAACCAAAAATAATATGTGAAGAAGAGAAAAAGAAACAAACAGCTTTTTAAAATATTCAAAATGTGCCCATTAGAAAGAAAGAAATGGGAAATTTCTCAACATTCTGAAACCTTTTCCACATCAGTGAAGATAAAGGTTTATAAATCAGTAACATGGAATCTATACCCAGCAGATAGGCATCAGCCACATAGCAGAGAGATTTTTTTAAAGGCTCCAGCATGCAGAGGTATGTATATATGTATTTATTTATTTTATTACTATTTTTTTTTTAGAGGTATTTAACAGTATGACAACTGTTCATCCCCAGGTGGGGAACAATCAGAATTATGATAAACCTATTGCTCTTGTCAATTTACAGATTCAGTGTCTAAATATTCACATAAAAAAGAACTGGGAACAGAGATCTCATAGGTTCTTTTGAAAAACTAAACAATAAAAAAAATTAGGCATTAAAAAGCAGAAATGTATAGGAAAGGTATTAACAGCTAAAGAAGGGTACCCAGAGGGGCGCCTGGGTGGCTCAGTGGTTAAGCGTCAGCCTTCAACTCAGGTTATGATCCCGGAGCCTCAGGATCGAGCCCTGCATTGGGTTCCCTGCTTATCTGGGAGTCTGCTTCTCCCTCTGGCCCTCCCCCTGCTCATGCTCTCTCTTGCTCTCTCTCTTTCAAATAAATAAATAAAATCTTTAAAGGAGGGTACCCAGAGAAGGCAAACTAGCAAATGAAATAAGATTTTTAGAAATGCTCTTCTAATTTTTTCTCCTTACCAGTAGGAGACAGAATCTAGTACCTACTCAGAGTTACTAGATAATCTCTAGAAAGAAATGCTCTGTGGCCGACCATTAAGCCAAATACACTTACCCGTATATGTCCAGCACTCCAATAAAAGAGTGTTGTTTGACAGCAGAATGGAGGGCCTGATTGACATGATCTACAATCCAGCTAAAGAGCTTGGCATAAATGTGCTTGGCCAAAGCATCACGGGCATTCGTGGCCTGCAGCTTCGAGATGGGCTTGATATATGTCTCTGTGGCGGTAGCCAGTTTCCGATGGCAGAGCCAGTGACACATCTCTTCATAGTCCACGCCCATAAGGTCAGAGAAGATGCTGAGAGGTTCATGCTTGGGCTGACAAAAGAGAATGGGTTATTTCCTATGACCAAATCAATCAAATAAGAATTTACTAAAAAAACACTAACAAAGAAGTAACAAATAAAACCCAGCAATTTCTTTGTTATAACGAACACCCAGATCTCTTGAAGCTGGTCGGTGATAATAATCACAGTCATCCATTAGACCAGCATCTAGACAGCATTTTATAACCTCTTCTAGGGCTCGTTTCACAAACTACATCTTCTTTTGTCTCTTTGCTGTCATTTGTTTGTATCTGTCTCCAGGCACCTTCATTCAGTCAGTTGATTACAAGACCTGTCAGCTTGTCAACAAATATTTACTGAGTGCCTACGATATGCCAGTAAATAAAACCAAACATTGCCCCTATCTTCCTAGAACTTACAGTCACTAGGAGAAATGGATATTAGTCAAACAACTGCTCCCTAACATGTAAAATTACTGCAGAGAACAAGGGTACTATCCTATGATTCCATATGAAAGGAGTGTGCTCTACTCAGGAGGCAGGCGCCAGTTGCCTTGAGAAACCGAGTTGAAATCTGAAAGATGGGAAAGTATTAACTCGGTGAAAGGGGGAAGAAAGGGTCTTCAAGCTGAGGGCACAGCTGCTATAAAAGTCCTGTGGTGGGAGAAAACTATAGTATGAGGGACTAATGCTGAGTGAGGGAGAAAATATCTGAGATGAAGCCAGAGAGACAGGCAGAGGCTATACCATGGCTGATCTTTATCCTGAGAGCAAAGGGAAGCTGCTGAAGGGTTTGAAATAGATAACTTGAGAGTTATTTGCATGACTTCTTAGATGAGAATGATTAGAATCTCTTTAATGACTTATATATCCCTATCCCCTACAAGGTCTTCCATAGGCCTTGCATTGAGTAGACATTCAATAAAAACTTGTTTAGTTTGATCCACATGAGTGCATTATATTTGTGAACATCTTCACTCACATGTTTCAGTTGACTCTGATGACATTCCTGGGGAATAGCCAGGATGAACATCCCTATCACTATATGATTGAAATCCAAGAGGACAGCTTGTCAAACATCACACGGCCAATGTTTGTCAGTGTCGTCATTAGAACCTGGGTGTCTTGGCACCCTCACCTCCTGACCCTTCCCACTGAAGCAGTCCCTTCCTTCCTTCATCTCTCCTTCTCCCAAGTGATCAATTCAGATACAAACTAGCATCATTACCAACAGCATGCTACAGCTCCCTTAAATAAGCAGCTAATTTCATTTGTATAAAAATGAACGATTTGACCTCAGTACTCTCTAAACATACTCTATTTGAACGGCATTACCATACTACTAGATCGTGGCTGTAAAATTTTTTGTTCAAATTTTCTTTACTAATTTTTAGACTTCTTCATTTATCTCTTCTGTTTATCTGAGAGAAGTCAATAATCTCCCACTATGATAGAGCTGTCTATTTCTTCTTTTGGGTTTCTGTTGATTTTTGCTTTATATATGTTAAGTCTATGCCATTAAGTACATGAAAGTTTAGAAGCATTACATCTTCCTGATGAATAAAATCTCTATTATTACATAGTACTCTATTTACCTCTAGTATTGCTTCTGGTCCCAAACTCTATTTTGTCCAATATCGATACAGGCTCTGCCAGGTTTTTTCTAGCAACTATGATGTATCTTTTCTAAACTTTTTATTTTCAAACTTTCTGTACCTTTATGTTTTAGGAATGCTATTTCAAAAGTATATAGATGAATTCCTAAACCAGTTATCCAATTGTTATCTAGTACTCTAGTTCTATATTTTTAGGGGGAACAGGGGCCGATGATTCTCTTTACTTTTTTTAACTTTTTCTTCTGAACTATTTTAGACTAAAAGAAAAGTTACAAGAGCAGTACAAAGAAATCCCTTCACCCAGATTCCCTAAATATTAACATTTTACCACATTTGCTTGTATCATTCTCTCTCCTTCACATACATGTACGTACACATTAATTTTTTAGAACCTTTGAGAGTGGAGTGGGAGGAAAAAAAAAAAACCAGAAAACCTTTGAGAGAAGTTCCAAGCATGATGCCATTTTAGTCCTAAATATTTCAATGTGCAGTATCACCAAGAGAATTAGAAAATTAGCAATGACACAACTCTATTTAATCTAACCTATAGATCTAATTCAATTTTTTTCTGGTTGATCTAATCAATCTCTGCACAGGAGTGGGGGAGATATTTTTATAGTCCAGGATCGAGTCTAAGTTCATACACTGATTTTAGTTGCCATGTTTCACTGGCCTCCTTTAATCTCAACAGCTCTTCACTCTTTTTTTTTTGTCTTTTGTGACCTTGACATTTTTGACTAGGATGTCCCTCAATGCAGGTATGCATGACGCTGCCTCATGATTAGATTTGGGTCATGCCTTCTCGGCAGGAATACCAGGGAAGTGATGTTGTGCTCTCAGTTCACCATATCAGAAGTTATATAATGTTCAACCGTCATTTCTCCAAAGAAGACATACAGATGGCCAACAGACACATGACAAGATGCTCAACATCACTCATCACCAGGGAAATGCAAATCAAAACTACAGTGAGAGGGGTGCTTGGGTGGCTCAGTCATTAAGCGTCTGCCTTCGGCTCAGGTCATGATCCCAGGGTCCTGGGATTGAGGCCCACATCGGGCTCCCTGCTCAGCGGGAAGTCTGCTTCTCCCTCTCCCACTCTCCCTGCTTGTGTTCCCTCTCTTTCTGTCAAAATAAATAGATAAAATCTTTAAAAAAAAAAACAACTACAATGAGATATCACTGTATCACTGCACACCTGTCAGAATAGCTAAGATCAAAAACACAAGAAACAACAAGTGTTGGCAAGGATATGGAGAAAAAAGAACCCACACGCATTGCCGGTGGGAATGCAAACTCATTCAGCCACTCTGGAAAACAGTATGGAAAAAGTTAAAATTAGAGTTTCCAGAAAACACTCTGGAAAAAAGTTAAAAATAGAACTACCCTGTGATCCAGTAATCACACTACTGAGTATTCACCCAAAAAATGCAAAAACACTAATTCGAAGGGATACATGCACCCCTATATTTATTGCAGTATTATTTACAATAGCCAAACTATGGAAAAAGCCCAAGAAACAGACTCTTATTAAGAACAAACTGATATTACCAAAGTGGAGGTGGGTGGGGGGAAGGGTGAAACAGGTGATGGGGATTAAGGAGGGCACTTGTGATGAGCACTGGGTGTTGTACGGAAGTGCTGTACACTATACTGTACACCTGAAACTAATCTAACACTGTATGGTAACTATACTAGAGTTAAAATAAAAACTTAAAAAAAAGTGTTCACTATAAGCTGCAAAACAGAGAAATAAAGAAATATCTTTAAAGGCTTTTTAAAAGCAAACAACAACAACAAAAGCAACAACAAAAAAAGAAGTTCTATGATGTTGACTGGTCTCGCTACTGGTCCTGTCGATTGCAGTCACCTGATTAAGGGAATGCCTGCCAAGTTTCTCCACTATAAAGATACCTATCTTTCCCTTTGTACTACTAAGTATTTTGTGGGGAGTTCTGTCTTTTCTAACCCAATACACTATTCATAATTACTATTGTTTTAATTAATGAAATTTTATCTATATTGGCATGTGCTTTCCTAGTTTATTGATCCACCATTCATTCTCTACTTTTAGATCTATCTTGGGTCACTTTCCTTCTGCCTAAACCATGTCCTTTAATATTTCCATTAGTGAGAGCCTCTTGGTGACAAAATCTCCCAATTTCTATTTGTCTGAAAACACTTCTATTCTTCCCTCATTCTGGAAAGATCTTTTTATGGGATATACAATTCTAAGTTAATACTTACTTACCCTAGAGCACTGAAGATAGTGTTTTCTGGCTTCTACTGTAGTTGAGAAGTGAGCTAATGGTTTAACTGTTATTTCTTCTAAAGTAGTATGTCTTCTCTTTCTGCCTGTTTTAAGATTTTTCTCTCTGCCTTTGCTATCATTATGGTGTGCCTTGGGTGGATTTTTTTTTTCATTTATTCTAATTAGGATTTTGTGGACTTTCCTAATCTGAGGTTTAGAGTCATTTTCACAATTTCTGAAATTTGTAATTATCTTTTCAAATGTTATGTCTGCCTCATTCTTTTTTTTTTTCTTCTAGGAATTCTCATTGGATTAAAACTAGATTTTATTACTTCATCCTTCCTTCTCCTATGTTTTAAGTGCTCCATCTCTGGGTCCTGTCTTGCATTCTAGATAATTTCTTCACATCTCTCTTCTAGCTCTTCTCTTCTCTCCTCAGTTGTGTCAAATTTGCTATTAATTTCTTTCAGCATCCTTAATAGGTTTGACTTTTATCTGTTGTTTTGCCTAGCTCCTCCTATTTTGTTTCTTTGTGGAATCTGTGATTTTTGACTGTGAGCCAATATTTCTTGTAACTTTTCTCATGGGACTCTATTGAGACCTGGATCATCCAAAGTAGATTTACATTTGCTTCTGACAGGCATCTAAGGCACCACCAATCCAGGACCAATTTAAGCTAAGTTTTCTGTAGTTAGCTTTCTGGGACCATCTAGGAACTACAAAATCAGTCTGGGAGTAACTGTGAGGGTCAGTTCATTGCCGTAAATTTTTAGGAACTGCTTTCTCCTACACTTAGCACCAAGGCTTGCTCAAGCCAGATCAACTTTTCTTTGTACTCTTCGAGTAGGTAGTAGGCAAGTTTACTACTAGTTTCCCGTCTAGGGTCTCAGCTTTAGGAAGGGGTTCCCCTGTTTATATGAGTCCTGGGCTTTGTCTTTTGTCTAAGAAAACTAAAGTTCATAGTCACTGGGTTCAGTAAATGCCCTCAAGGTGAGCCTTAAATCCGGGGCTCTACTTCTTTCTCATAGCTCCTATTTTCACTTAGTTTCTGGCCTCTAAGTAGATTTTTCATATTTATTACTTTTAAAAAAATATATAAGGGTGCCTGGGTGGCTCAGATGGTTGGGCAACTGCCTTCGGCTCAGGTCATGATCCTGGAGTCCCGGGATCGAGTCCCGCATCGGGCTCCCTGCTCGGCAGGGAGTCTGCTTCTCCCTCTGACCCTCTTCCCTCTCGTGCTCTCTATCTCTCATTCTCTCTCTCTCTCAAATAAATAAATAAAATCTTTAAAAAAAAATAATTTATCATGGGGCATCTGGCTGGCTCAGTCAGTGGAACATGAGACTCTTTATCTTGGGAGTTGTGAGTTCAAGCCCCAACGTTAGGTGTAGAGATTACTTAAAAATAAATCTTGAAAAAAATACACACACACACACACACACACATATATAAAATTTATCCAGTATGAAGATCAATCAGAGAACCTACTCGAAAATTGCTGGAAAAAAAGTCTCATTTTACAGATGAGGAGCAAGAGGTTCAGAGAAGTGTAAGCAACCCACCAAAAAAACAGCACAATTAAACAGTAAAGTAGGGATTGAATCCAGGCAGAGACACTGAAACATATATTTCAAAACTAACATCTCATTTATACAAATTTAACTCATGAATTAATCTACATGTAGATTTGCTAATATCAACTTGGGTATCTGAAGAGTGAAACATAAATCTTAAGATTGTTTCCTATCACAATCTTGAGGAAGCAGGATGGAAAAAGAATTAATTATATTAAAATTTCCTCCATTCTAATAAAGTTAAAAAATACCTAAAACTATTTGTGTATGTGTGTGTGTATGTGTGTGTATGTGTGTGCGTGTGTTATACTTGATGGTGGTGATCAGCAAATACTGCAAATCATAAATGCCCAGTGAGGGCAATCTGAGACCACCAGGTTTTGTTACATTTTAAACAAACATTTCCACATATGGAATTGGGTTTTAATTCTCAGTGTGCAGTTATCACTATGTGTGAAAGAATATGCAAATCCTAGTGAAGACACTCAGCCTCCCAGCCATCTAGTTCCTCTTCTCAGGAATAACCACTGCTAATAGTTGTTTCAATAACTTTTAAACTATATTACAACTCCACAGCTGAAGACACAAAGTTTTCAATTATTGGTATTTGTGCCATGGGCCAAATGAACCCTTGTCACTAGATGGCCCCAATCCAACTTTCACATCGAATTCTTCCCATCTCTGTTCATATGGACCAGACATGTATCCAAGTTCTCTCCTCTCCCTTACACAGACAATCACTGTGCACCAGGGATTAGCATCCATATTTCCTACTTTCAGTTCCAGATTCTACTTGGATAATTTATCTCTCTGATAATGATAGGAGAGACTTCAAATATACTGCTTCCATAAAGAATCAACAAAACTGAAACACAAATAACCTGCTATCACACTACGCATATTCTGAACTTACAGGTATTGCGCAGCTGTCTGAATCCCGAGATGTAAATGCAACGTTGCCTAAGTGAAGGATGCCAGCAAGTATTCGGAAAATTCCCATCTGATAAGACTCACTAATTCCTGAAACAGAGGAAATGAACAAGTGATTATAAACCATTACAGCAGCCAATGTTAAGCCTATTTTTAACTCTTGAATATTGCCAGATGTGCAGATGGTAACATGTCATGGTTAACCACACCTTCATCTTTGTTGCTATCAGCATGTAACAGAGTGTAGCATCATGGTTGGGAGCATGGGCGGGATGTGGAGGGAGCGAGAACTGGGCTCAAGAGCTGGCGTTGCTCCTGACCTGCCATCTCACATGGGCACGGAACATCACCCTTCTATGTTTCTGTTTTCTCATTTAGGATACGGGAATAGTAGTGACTATCTCAAAGGGCATCCATGAACATTAAATGAGAAAATGCATGTAGTCCTTTAGTATACTTAGCACGCTGTGGGACACATGGTAAATGCTAAACAAATTATCATCATCATCACACCCTGGATTTAAGTATTTTACTAACATTACTACCTTTTCTATTTACTCCAAAAGCAAGTGGTAGCCCAATAAGGCTATTTTAAGTCAGATTATGTTAATCACTTCTTCTAACTACAGACCAAGTATAAGCTAAAGAGATCCCGAGATGGGAAGTGTTTGGGCTCGTGTTGTACCCAGCTTGATGAGGGAACATCTAAATGCAGCATTAAGGCAGCAACTGACGGATGAGGCAGGGTGAGAAAGCTGGACAGCCTTGACATTTTCTCAGATCCAGTTTCCTTTTTCAGTAAGGTAAGACTTTCCTGAATATTATATATAATTATATAGAAGTAAAAATAGTAAAATTATTTCCAAATATGTAATCATATACAGGGTAACTGAGAGTTGATCTTATAATAAATGTTCTTACTATCTCCTAATTATGGCTTTTACAAACTTGCAATTTTCTATTTACAAATAGATTTAGCCCTAGAAGTAGAGCAGTATTTTTCAAACTTTAATGTGCATACGAATCACCAATGGATCTTGTTAACATGCAGATTCTGAGTCAGTAGGTCTGAGATGGGGCTTGAGTTTCTGAATTTTTGCAAGCTCCACTATGGTCCTGGACCATACTCTGATTAGCAATGCTTTTAAATTAACTCACCTTGTAGTACTCATCAAGATACCAATACATGATGTTATTTATTTATATTTTGAGGGTTTTTAAAAAAATTTTATTTATTTATTTGACAGAAAGAGAGCACAAGCAGGGAGAGCGGCAGGCAGAGGGAGAAGCGGCAGGCAGAGGGAGAAGCAGGCTCCCTGCTGAGCAAGGAGCCCCATGCAGGGCTCCATCCCAGGACCCTGGGATCATGACCTAAGCTGAAGGCAGATGCTTAACCGACTGAGCCACCCAGATGTCCCTATATTTTGAGGTTTTTAAAATAAATAATTCACCACTAAAAGTTGTACATTGCAGTTCTAAAGATTAATTTACTTGCAGGTAGACTCCATATTTTTTAAATCTCAGAAACAAGACAGTGACATCTGAGCCATTTTTAAAACACCGGAATAATCTACATGCAATACAGTGTTTTGTCACTACACCAGCTCAACCACATTTCCCAACCACAAAAGACCAAAAAAAAGGCAAAACAAACAAACAAACAAAAAAACAAAGGCGAAAACCCTATAAAATGTGAGCTTGTTCAGGAACCCATTTCATTTAGCTTTAGGTTTCAGATTTTGTGAAAATTTAAACAAAGAATTAGTTAGTCCTACCTCCCCTAATGCCCTCAATTTGTTCTTTAAACAGCTTTATTGAAGGATAATTTGCATACCATAAAATTCACCTGTTTTAAGTATACAATTCGTGATTAGTTGTACAACCATTACTACAATCAGATTTTAGAATAGTTCCCATCACCCCAAAAAGAAACCTTGTGCTCATTTGCTGCCCAAAGGTGTTTTATAAGGAATGAATATTAAATCTCCCAACAACACTCACCACCTAATACAAAGCTAAGCCAATATTCCAAAACAAAAATTGCTTGAATCAGAGAACTACTGCTCCTAAGAGCTCAAAAATAAAACTGTTACCTAGCAGAGTGCAGGCCTGCCTGGTATGTGCCATCTCCTGGGTATCATCAACTCCTTCAATCACAGGACTGCCACCTTGCTTCGTGTAATGAAAGTTATTTGCATTTCCTGCAATTAATGAAAATAAAAGATTTGCAGTCTATGAAAAAGCCTTGACTCCTACCCTTGTGTCCACTCTGAAACAGAGACAGTGATAGCCCGGTTAACTGTATGGAGTCTGGAGTTCGACTGCCAGTGTACTCATCATTCATCTTAAACAGGTATCAATTCAAGGCCAATCCTGCTCCATTTATGCAGCTGTTCGCCCCTTCCCCCTCTCCAGGTTATTGTGAAGCCAACTGCAGACTTCTTATCATTTTATCATAAATATTTTAGTATAAGATAATCCTCTCTTTAATAAGTTTATGAACTCAGGAATTAATGGAAAATAATACCAGAACAATAAATCTAACACCAAATTCATACCTAATCGCAGCATTTTAAATTCAGGTAACTTTGCTGAAGCACAAAGCTGATAGAAGATATGATAGTTTCTCTCCTCTTCTGCCTTTGAAATAAGAAGAGTTTTCAATTATAGCATTTTAACCTAAAACTCAGAAAATTCAATCATAAAATAAACTTAAGATTTTTTATTATTATTATTCATTTGAGAGAGAGAGACAGAGCACAAGCAGGGGGAGAGGCAGAGGGAGAGGGAGAAGCAGACTCCCCGCTGAGCTGGGAGCACCCCCCCACCCCGACAGAGGGCTCAATCCCAGGACCTGAAGATCATGACCTGAGCTGAAGGCAGACACTTAACCATCTGAGCCACCCAGGTGCCCCAAAGTTTTTTAAGATTTATTTATTTGAGAGAGAGAGAGAGAAAGAGAGTGGGGGGAGGGGCAGAGGGAGAGAATCTCAAGCAGACTCCCCACTGAACATAGACTAGGGGCTCTATCCCACAACCCGGAGATCATGACCTGAGCTGAAATCAAGGATCAGATACAACCGACTGAGCCACCCAGGCGCCCCCATAAAATAAAATTTTAATATTTAATTATCTCAGTGTAATAAGTTGTCCCTCCCTAAATTTCCTAATATAGGTTTATGATTGTTAAATCTTACGATTTATTAGCTATGTGAATATATGTATGAATGTGTACCTGTTGGTCACATTCAACAAAAATTATCTGATAACGATGTTTTTTGAAGTAAAGAACAGTTTGATATATGCTATTGTCATAAGAGATTATTGCCTTTGGGGAAAACTAAAACCATGTTTTTGAAATATAGGTATCCCCTGCTTTTCTAAAGTTCGCACTACACCACTTCATTTTTGCAGAAGGCCTACATTACCATCTGTTTTGCTAACCAAAAGAAATCCAAAGAGGATTTTTTACAGAAAAGCAAAAACTAGTGTTTAGCAGTTATTTTGCGGTGAGCTACTAAAGAGGCAGCACACCCCTAGCAGCGACCATGGGACCGCCAAGCTCCTTCCCCAGGAACTACAGCCAGCATCTCAGCGTGAAGCTGCCATAGCTTTGAACTCTGTCTGTGAGCATCTGTGCTTTATCTCGATTTATTTTGTGCATCTGTTAGCAAGATGTGTCCTAAGGTATCAGAAAAGCCTAAGAGAGGTTATTTTTGGGGTCTGGGGATGCTCAGAAATTTTTCCATATAAATTAATGGTAATTTTTTCTTCATTTTACACCATTTCAGCTTACAAAAGTTTTCATAGGACCAATCTACTTTTGGAAAAGGGGGTAAACCTGTACTCAGTATTTTCCCACAGTACCTCTCAGGTTCAGGGTCTTCCTAACACTTTAAATGAAAAAGGATATTCTAGCTTTGCCCTATGTCAGACCAGATCATCTACTGGTTGTTTGTAAGAAATCCACAAATGCACTACATCATCTATATCATTTTAGTTTATACATTTTAACATCAATAAAACATTTTACAAAATGTATAATTTTAATATATGTATATATATTAAACATGTGTAATTTTAATATAATTTCTTAGTATTTCCTAACAGTCCTTTTTCCACATACATACTTTAAAAATGCAACTGTAATATGACTGTTCATACAAAACTGAATCCTTATACTCTACCATCATATCCTTGAATTCTGCAGTGTATCCAGCTGACTAAAGCATAGTGTGGCCTCAAGGTCTGGTTTGATGCCCAAAAGGGGCTTATGTCTGGTAAAGGAGATTTTTTAACCTTCACTATTCTATCTAAACAATATCATATTCTAAGAGAAGAGAAGGAAGAAAAGAGGGCAAGGAACTAGGTTCAAACTCGAACTCACTGAAAACATAACCCAATGTCTTCCCTATCAACTAGGAAATATAAGAGTTAAGAGTAAACTAATAACACCTCTTGGGGCACCCGGGTGGCGCAGTCAGTTAGGCGTCTGACTCTTGGTTTCAGCTTAGGTCATGATCTCAGGGTCAGGGGATAGAGCCCCATGTCAGCTTGTGCTCAGCACTGAGTCTGCTTGGGATTTTCTCTCTCCCTCTGACCCTCCCCCTGCTCACATGCACACTCTCTCTCTGAAGGAAGTAAAAAAATAAAATCTTGAAAAAAAAAAAAACTAATAGTAGCTCTTTTTAACTAAGCTTTTCCTACAACCATCTGCAGGAAAAAATCAAAACCATTAAACCTAATCCAGTGCCCAGTCCCCCAGATTATTAGGTACTGCCCTGCCTCTGACAAGTACCATTTTACAAATTTCAGCCCAAATGTGGTTTGTAGTAATATTGTCATAATATGCCCAAGAGTATCTGCAAATAAAATGCATACCAGCAAGCATGAGCTCTAGAATTATAGGGTAATCTAACACAAATACATATGTGCACCTGCCCGGCTTACCTGGAATACCACTCTGGATTTCTCTAAAAGATAAGTTCTCATATTGGCACCAATGATTCGATATCTCTTATCAAAACCAATTTCAATATACTTCCCAAAACGGCTGCTATTATCATTCCTGGTTGTCTTAGCATTTCCAATGGACTAAGAAGCAAGGGGAAAAAATAGTATTTTAGAAATACAGTTCATGACATGACATTTACAGAGTCTGTTCGGGGAAAGAAAGGACAGAGTATAACACAACACTTTAAAACTGATTCTTTTAAGACCTGAACCAATCTTGCCCTTGCAGGCACCGTATGCTTTGCCCAATGCACAACCACACGGATACCAACAAATAGTTCAGACCTGCCTTCTCACTCTCACACAAATTACCTTCAGAAACAGCAAACCTGAGCCCAGTGTCTGGGAGGTTTTCACACCGTTTGTGGTATCAGAACACACTCATGCAGGTCAACAAAGAAAGAAATGGATGGGGCTGGGGGCTGCCAAAGCACAGGCCCTCTTAGTTACACACTAGGGTTTGCATTTCCTGAAAATTTAGTCTGCTTTATGTAAGTAAGCTGGTTAAGACAAATTAATATTTTTCAAGGAAATATTGCTCTGGTATTGAGACTCTTTAGCTAGAAGTTTCTATCCGCTTATCCTGTGACAACAAAGGCCTAGCTGGACTAGTTATTAGCAGAATCTTAGTAATCACCCATTCAATTCAAAGCCATTTTCAGAAACCAGACACAGTAAAATTTGCCCTTGGGTTTTGATAGATGTATCTAACTTGTAAAACATCTGCCATAGAATTCAGAGAATGTAACTTTGTGCTAAGTTTTTTATATAATTTTAAAAATTAAGACAATGTATGTACTACTTTCTGACTTAGGTAACATGCTTCTAGAAATTTTTCTTCCAAGGCAAAGCAAAAAACATGGTGCAGTTAGAGAAGCAAGTGTTCACATAATGCATGCATTAAATGTTTAATAAAATATTTTATATAAGATTACTATAATTTACTTGTGCAAAGCCTGAGACGATCAGGATTAGTAGACTGAAACCATAGCAGAGAGAAAGACATGAAAATGATCTGGAGTGTTAAAAAAGGAATACAAATGTAAGTGATGAAAACAGTAATTACACAGCCACAGAAAAATCAACACATCAGATTCTCTGATCAATCAAAGAAAGCACATTTCACTCTTTTGCTCTGGCAATGAGAACACTGCTATATTTCAGAATAACGTTTTAAATGGAAAGAATGACAGAAAGCTATCTTCCCAGCAAAGTAAGAGTGATCTAGTGTAGCCTAGGACCATTTAACAATGCATTTCCTTAGATATTCCCCTTTTTGATATGACAAAAAGTACAACAAAAAGTCTCCATATATTCCAATTATTTTTATTTTGTTTAGAAAAGGAAACTAATGATAAATGCAGGATTTTCTTTCAACACAGAATATTCCGTCAAAGAGCAGATGAAGAAGATGTAGTTAATTGTGGCAGCGGCAGTTAATAGTCACCGAGTGTTTACCAGGCACCGTCCCAAGCACCTTCCTGCCAGCAACTAAGCAAGCTGGCAAAAGGGGTCCACAGCTTCTCCTCCCTCCCTGACCCCACCCCACCTTCCATATGCCATCTCCCTCCTATCAACTCAGAGTGCAAGTCGGAGTGGCTGAGCTGCCAAAACAACACGACACCCTGTGAGAAGCAGCGGTGAGTAGGCCAGGGTTGAAACAGACGCCTCCCCTCTGCCTTTGAGTAAAAGGTATTTAAACATAGAGCAAAGAATGGTAGAAGGAGTGAATGAAATAGAAGTCTGAAGACCTGGGTATCAGACCAGGCCCTCCTACCAACTTGCCAACATTTAATCCTCTGAGGAGCAGTAGTGTCTCCAAGGGTAAACTGACTAGGATAAATGAGCTCTGGGGTCCTTTACAAAACTAGAATTATATGATTACAAGCCTTGAACTTGGTAAGGAAAGAAGGCTCTATATATAAACAATACCTTTTGTCCATTCCACTTAGTTCCTCCCTCTCCCTTATAAGTACTGTATTTACAACAGGCTCCCTTGATGCTATTTTCATTTCAATTAGCAAGAAATTGTTAATGAAAAAAAGTTTTGTGGTCTTGATTTTACTATTGATTTCAGTGGAGTGTTGAGCAACTTACTCTTCTTTACTAAAAGGAAGATGAAAATCTTTAACTATGGTTATTAATGTTGTAAAAGAACTATTAAGACCCACTATGACCACAAGAATCTTTCCCTGTCCCCCTCTTAGGATGAAAATGTCCGGAGAAAAACGAGAAAAAGAAAACATGATAAAATGAGCAAAAAAGAATCATTTATCTGTGCATCATTCATATTTTGCAAAAGGAGCCTATGCTGAGGATGAGGAACTTGCTTTCTAAAGGATCGTGTGCAAATCCCAATAGCCACTAGGCTGTGATGTTAACTGTGTAGGATGCTCATTACCCAAGGAGGAGTTTCAGATCATGGAGACACAGACATGTCATTCTTGACATCACAGTAAAGGACTCTGATACAGAAACACAGTCTTGAGACAGGTTTAAAGTTACAAACCTTCTAGGCCGCATACTCAGTATTTCATCTATGTGTCTTCTCCCTATAACTGCAAACCCTTTGTCACCTCTCTTCAGTCTCAGATTCCATTTTGATCTTTCAAACTGAGATGCCCTCATTTGTAGTCATCGAAAATTAGTTCTCTCTTTGCCAAATTTTCTTAATCCAAATTCCTATAGAAAAACTACATAAGAGGGCGCTTGGGTAGCTCAGTTGGTTAAGTGACTGCCTTCGGCTCAGGTCATGATCCTGGAGTCCCAGGATCGAGTCCCGCATCAGGCTCCCTGCTCAGCTGGGGGTCTGCTTCTCCCTCTGACCCTCTTCCCTCTCGTGCTCTCTGTCTCTCATTCTCTCTCTCAAATAAATAAATAAATAAATCTTTAAAAAAAAAAAACTACATAACAATATAGAAGGGAATAGCTAAGCATAACTGATGTCTTTATCTTTTTTTGTTCATCCCAGCAAATAAAGTAAATTCCTTATAACTACATATTAAAAACTAAGATCTATGGGGGTGCCTGGGTGGCTCAGTCGTTAAGCGTCTGCCTTCAGCTCAGGTCATGATCCCAGTCCTGGGATCAAGCCCCACATGAGGCTCCCTGCTCAGCAGGAAGCCTGCTTCTCCCTCTCCCACTCCCCCTGCTTGTGTTCCCTCTCTCGCTGTCTCTCTCTCTGTCAAATAAATAAATAAAATCTTTTAAAAAAATAAAAAAACAAACAAACTAGGATCTATGGCCATTTTAACCTCTCCTACCAACACAATGCAAATCTGTATTGTAGAAAAAACAATGTAGCATTTTTTGAATGAGAATATAGAAGGTCATAAAATATTCTAGACATATTCTAGAAGGTTCACTCCAGACTTACATTATTATATGGTCCAGCCTAGAAGAGGTGGGATTCCCTGATGCCATCACAATCTAGACTGGGATATTCTAACATTAGGGACTAATAATGAACTAAACTACTGCCAAATATATAGAATTTGTTGTTGTGACCAAAAATAGTCAAACTAATGATAGGAAGCAAAGCAAAGCCCTGTTGTTTTCTGACCCAAAACCAAAAACTGGCTCTACGGATTATATCTCCCCAATATTAACAATGGCATCCAGCACTGTATCTATAGCTTAAATTCTTTCCAAATCTTAATACTTGCTTAAAATCTTTACTAGTCTTTTTGGCACACACCTCTGTTCCCCCCGGCCCCCCATCTGTGCTATTTCAGAAAACTCCTCCAGTTCTCTCTGCACAGTGCATCTGGCCCAGGCAGCCCTGTAACTCCCCCAGCACATCCTGTCCTCTTGGTTCGAGGACAGAGGTCCTCCCGCTCTGGAGGGCAGCCCTGCAGGCCAGGGGGTCAACACTCTGTTCTCAAGTGTCACACACGGCACTGCAAACCAGGCACAATTACCTCTGGACTGATTATTGCAAAAACCACTTGTACCACAGGTGCACCAGGCCAGTTCTAAACTCCGTCTGGGTTTGGGTGACAAATAAGGCTTGACAAAGGAAAAAAAAAAAAACAGGAATAAAAAATGCTGACTCAAATTTTTAATAAGAAAGGCTTATTTCTCCCTGTCCCAAATAATTTGTTAGTAATGAGAATTACTTTTTTCCATTTAATGGGACTATTTACAAAAATGTGACTTTCCTAAAATCATTTTAATAGATAATTCTCTAGTTACAAATTCTGAAATACTCAAATTCTCACAAAAACAGGTCCACTTTCTTTGACATGAACATTTCTGCTTTGTATACATATTTTACTTTTGAAAGGACATCCTTTCGTAGTTCTTCCTTTCTCAGGAATTTATAGCTACCTAATTTTTCTCTAACCTAAAGCTGTGTGATGTGCTTCACAGAAACAAGAAGAAAAGTGTTTACAAGATCATGATTTAAGCCTATAGTTCAAATCTGGAAAAAAAAATAGAAACTTACAGCTAAACAGGTTGTACTAAGTATAGAAAATGAAATGTGGGCAAAGGAATGATAAAATTCATCATACTTGGGTATAGTGAATCCCTATGAACTCAGAAATGGGGGGAAATGAGGAACATACTTCTAGTACAAGGAACAATAAATATGAGTCGATTAACTAGGAGAATAGAGATTTAGAAAATGAGGTACCACTGCCAGTTATTTAGAGGCAACAGCTCAATGGTAGGTTAAAAATGCAGGATTATGGAATAAAGTAGATATTTCTCAAATAGCTTTACTCAAATGGCTACCTTACTAACTTTTTACTTTTCGTACATCTCGTCTTACTAATACGTGGAAAAGTATTTTCTTACTTTTAGCAACTGGACAAAGTATTTTCTTACTTTCTGACATGTGCTGTTTCAATAAGTTTTTGAGCAGGTTTCTTAAGAGAATATAGTAAGAAGGCCAAGGTGGCTCCTCTCTTACCTCCATGATGGGGTTGGAGGCCAAGACCTTTTCCTCAACATTGGCTTCACTGGCAGAACCACTCACAGTTGCAAAGTATCGCATGGCATACTTAGCTGAGACTGTTTTTCCTGCCCCAGACTCTCCACTTACGATGATGGACTGATTTCGTTCATCTCTGTAAAACAAAGAAGAGTAACTAACAGTGCTGCCCACTCCTGAATGTGACGAACATTATTTCTTCTGTGTTCTCATCAGCGAGCCATGGTGAATTTCTTCTGGTTCATACATGCAGCAATGTGGGAAGGAACATAAGAATGATATTTCCTATAAAAATAACTACTTACAAACTAGCAATGAACAGAGAGGGAGAAGATGATATCAAGCATCAAATTAGACAGCATCACATCTAAGGATGAATTTGTAATAGAGGGTCTCTGAATTTTTTTGTGTACAGATCTCGAACACATTATTTAATTTCTAGATAATAATTCTGGTATATTACAGTGCTGCTGTCAACCACCTCAGAAGAGAAAGTAGCCACAGCAAGGGAATTTAAAAGAAAATCCTATTTAATTATAGAAATTGTCGGGGCGCCTGGGTGGCACAGTCATTGGGCATCTGCCTTCGGCTCAGGTCATGATCTCAGGGTCCTGGGATCCAGCCAAGCAGTGGGCTTCCTTCTCAGTGGGGAGTCTGCTTCTCCCTCTCCCTCTGCCCCTCCCCCTCATACCTGTCCCCCCTGCTCATGCTCTCTAATAAATAAATAAAATCTTAAAAAAGGAAAAGGTCAAAGGAGTCTCAAGAGTGGCATTCATGGGGCGCCTGGGTGGCTCAGTCATTAAGCGTCTGCCTTCGGCTCAGGTCATGATCCCAGGGTCCTGGGATCCAGCCCCACATCGGGCTCCCTGCTCGGTGGGAAGCCTGCTTCTCCCTCTCCCACTCCCCACTACTTGTGTTCCCTCTCTCCCTGTGTCTCTCTCTGTCAAATAAATAAATAAAATCTTAAAAAAAGAAAATTAGAAATTGTCTAGAAGTTAACAGTCCAAGAAGTCATGTCTTCCACAAACTTAAAGATACTGAAAGTATCTTCATTAGCGGAGAATAGGTCATTTACTTGTCGGCTGACGTGTTCAAATATGTCAGAACTCAAAGACTTTCTACTATTCCATCTCTAATTCATTCACACAATGACTCAAAAACTCTAAATGATATACTTGTTCACAAGATTATCATTTCTTTGAGGATTAAGACCTAAATCATGTTTATCTTTAATATCCAGCATCTAGTGCAGAGCCTGACACATCACAAATGCTCAATAAATGTGTATTGCTTACAAGTAAATAGAACTTCAATGAGCAACCTAGCCTAAGAATAAATCTGCTTTTTTCATTATTTATTTATTTGAGAGAGAGAGATCACTAGAGAGACAGAGCAAGCACAAGTGGGGGGACAGAGGGAGAGGGAGAAGCAGGCTCCCCACTGAGCAGAGAGTCTGACGCAGAGCTGGATCTCAGGACCCTGGGATCATGACCTGAGCCCAAGGTAGATGCTTAACTGACTGAGCCACCCAGGCGCCCCTAAATCTCTCTGCTTTGACTACGATTTCTACTAGGACAGAAGTAGGAAACTGCCACTTCCTGAGATGGTACCAGCAATTAACTTTTCATCAAAATAACTGAACAAGTACATAAAGATGGTATTATTTGTGCCCTTAATTTACAAAGAGACTGGATCAGGATGACTTCAAAGGTTTTTAGTGGAACTATCCTATAAGGCCACAAGATGGGAAAGTTATTCTACTACAGAAGATGATCTTTTTATCTTTTAAAAGAGACTTATTTATCCAACAATATTTATCAAATACCTACTACATGCCAAACATTGTGCTAAACACTAGGGATACAAATTAAATAAGCTGTGATCTGCGTCCTCAAGAGGCTGATGGTCTAACAGGAAAGAGAGACTAGTAATTTGAGACTGTAATACATGTGATGGGGCACTGAAAGGAGAAAGAGGTCATCAGGAAAGGCTCCCTGAAGAAGATACCGGAACAAGGTCTAGAAACATAACTAGGAAAAAGTAAGCAAGGGATGCGGAAGTTAGAAAGGAAACATTCCAGGGAAAGGAGATAACATAAATGAAAGCTCAGATGCACGAGAAGTTAGGAAAGAGCCTATCATTCAGTTTGGCTGGAACACAGAGTAATGACGGATAAGGTTGTAGAGATGACCAAGAACCTGACCATAAAGTTCTAACGTGAGATGTTAAGGAATCTGAAGTTTACCTAAAGGCAATGAAGCGCCATTCAACAGAAAACAGCACAATCCAACTAGTAAAATCACTCTGGCAGCAATGTGGAGTATGAGTGGCAAGGGTCCAGATGAAAACTTACAGAAGTCTGAACAAAGGTTGTGTCTGTCCTGATTGAGAGAGGTAGAGAGCTTTAAGAGACACCAAAGTGGTAGAATCCACAGTCCTAGGCAATAAATTTCTAAAGTAGAAATTCAGGACTTCTCCAAGGAAAAGTTTCTTTTTCCTTTGAGAAATGAGGGTAACTGTCTTATTTTATAGACCTTGAAAAATACAGTGGGAGTAGAGCAACCTGTTCCTGACACTCTGACTCCCATATTGTGGGGAAAATCAGGAGGACTTAGGGGACACACTAAGGAATGTTTAAATTTTATAGTACAAGCTTGCATGTAATCCCTGTTTTTATGAAACTTCATTGAACCTCATATGCACCATCTCATTTTCTTTTTATTTGAATTTCTAGACAGAACTGGACACACCCATTGCCTCTGTTCATTCATAGCTGACTAAAACATAAATCATCTAATAAAACAGTTCTCATTGTGGTGCCAGTCTCCTTTCTTTTAGTCGTTTAAAACGTCCTCAGAATTCACCTTTTTCTATACATTCATTAATCAAGGTACAGTACCAACAGTTTTTGGGTTGTCTTCTACAATACGATTAGAAAAATGATCTCTTCCCAATTCCTGCATGATCAGTTGTCACCACCCCTTGTGTGACAGCACTCCTTCCAACAGCAGACGAGGTGGGGAGGCTTCCGCTAGTCTGATGAAAATATTAATGGGAACTGCTATTTAAACTGTACTGTATTTGAAAGGCTATTTCAAGTCTTAATATCAAAATGTATCAAAAAGTCTAAAAATTCATATAGCTCTTTCCTATAATATAGGGAAGAAGAAAAATATTAAAGGCAGTAAGATTAAGGCTTGTTCAAATGAATCAGAAATTTATACAACTATGTACATATGTACACTGACATCAAGCACATGCCATATACATTTTCTTTTCCAGGATTTAGGATCCTGGATCCGTATGATCAGTGGTTTTTAAATTTTTTAAAGGACTTTATTATTTTTTTTATATTTCCCTGACTTTTTGGCAGAGTCTTCCCTTTTTTCCCAAGCTTCGTAGACCATTCCAATATATAAATAAGCACCACTCTTCCATCATATAAAAGCCCCTCTGAATCAAGGCTTTAATCCTAGACCTGTCATTTACCAGCTACACAGCTTTGAGCAATTGCCAAGACCTCTCTGGTTCACAGTTTTCTCATCCTTAAGATTAAATAGTACCCAGAGTCCTTCTCAAATTCTAAAGTACTATAATCTAAAAGTCTAACTCTGGAGTTGTTTTTCCGATATTGGATGAACTATAACTTGCAATCTAAGCCAGGGTAAACTCTTGGGACCAAGGACAATTGGATAAGAATAGGCCTACAGATACTCAGAAGGTCTTGAGTGGCCATATTTAAAATGGGCAACATTTCTTCTCTGGAGGACCCCTGAATTTGAGATGACCAAAATCAATAAAGGGCTACGAAGAGTAAAAATGTAAAATAACCAATTCACCTGCTTTTAAATTAAACGCAGGAAGTAGAAATCTTTATAAAATAGGTACAATAAAGTCTTTAAAATGTTTTTCAGTTCTATGTGGCTATAGGAAGAAATGCCAAAAAGAGAGAATAAGAGGAGAGCTAGGTAGAAATGGGAAGCCAAGCAGAGACAGAGACGAGAGAAGGATAAGAGATAATAAAGACACACAAAAGGAAAAACGAGAAGGGTATGACAGCGATGAGGAGAAAACAGACAAAAACATCAGGGATAGAAATTTTATGGTCCACACTTGCTTATCCCGTACACAAAAATAAACCCCAAATGGATTAAAGACCTAAATTTGAGACCTGAAACCATAAAATTCCTAGAAGAAAACACAGGCAATAATCCCTTTGACATCAGCCGTAAAAACATTTTTCTAGGTATGTCTCCTTTGGCAGGGGAAACAAAAGCAAAATTAAACTATTTTTATTTATCAAAATAAAAAGCTTTTGCACAACAAAACAAAAAAGACAACCAACTGAATGAAGTGATCTGCAAATGATATATCCAATAAGGAGTTAATATCGAAACTATTTAAAGAACTTACACAACTCAACACCAAAGAACCCCAAATAATCCAATTTAAAAATGGGCAGAATCCATGAATAGACATTTTTTCAAAGAAGACATTCAGATGGTCAACAGACACATGAAAAGATGCTTACCATCACTCATGATCAGGGAAATGTAAATCAAAACTATAATGAGGCATCATCTCATACCTGTCAGAATGGCTAAAATCAAAACCACAAGAAGTAAGTGTTGGCAAGGATGTGGAGGAAAAGAACACTTGTGCACTGTTGATGTGAATCCAAGCTGGTGCAGCCACTGTGGAAAACAGCATGGAGGTTCCTCAAAAAGTTAAAAATAGAATTACCCTATGATCCAGTAATTCCACTACTGGGTATTTAGCCAAAGAAAATGAAAACACTAATTTGAAGAGAAAGAGAGAGAGAAGGAGAGAGGGAGATTCACTCCTATGTTTACTGTAGCATTATTTACAATAGCCAAGATATGGAAGCAACCCAAATGTCCATCCACAGATGAATGAATAAAGATGTGGTATATATACACAATGGAATGTTACTCAGCCATAAAAAAGAATGAGATCTTGCCATTTGTAACAACACTGATGGACCTAGAAGGCATAATGCTAAGTGAAATAGGTCAGAGAAAGACAAATACCATGATTTCATTCACAGGTGGAATTTAAGAAACAAAATAAATGAACAAAGGCAAAAGACAAACAGAAAAACAGACTTTTTTTTTT